TGAAGAAGACTTCATAATAAGAATGAAAAGGGAACTTCCCACCCCATCAGGTGCCAAATACAGAGAGCACAAACCCTTTCTTTCCTGCGCTGGTTGAAGGAAACGTGCTTCCCCACGATGAGCCAAGTCCAAAGCAAGGGAAGATCAGCAGCCTCTGCAAAAATGAACAGCACCAAAGCAGCTCTTCCACCAGAGATGATACAGAATGTTAAGAAAATATGCAGAGATGCCTCGCCTCTGATGCTTCTGCCCTGATTGAAAGGTAATAACTTCATGAGGAGAGAACAGACTCCTTCTAGCCATGATTGCTGAGGGAGAAAAGGCCAAGTAAGTTCAAGACAAAGTTCCTTTAAAAATCTTCACATGCTGATAATGAGGGACACTAACCAAGGGTGCAACTGAGTTTTGATTTTTTTTTCATTACAATTCAAAATGAGTTCAAAAAAAGCCAAGCAAAAACATCATCGTCTTCAGAAGGTATCAGGCACCTTTTGAATAAGAACCTTGAAGACACCATTTTTTTTAAATTCAGTCCTTGCTTATCCTGACAGCATCACTTGATGGCACGATACCCTGACTCCTGACCAAACGGAAACACTGAAACCTATGCAGTATTCCCCAGAGCTGTGGGCTGCTCCTCCACCACCACATGAATGGTTATGAATGGGTCTGAAGACACATTCTAATCCCAAAGCATGTCGTTTCAGCACTTCACCGCTGTAAACAAAACGTGACAGAGAGCAGCAGGGCATTACGTCTGAATTGCACACAGGAATGGGACGCTGTCTGCCAGACTTCTCAGCCAAGAATAATTCTCAATATTGTTATCCTGGGCTGCGTGTGGTAAGCTAATTTCCACTTCCAGTTATACCAAAGCAAATTCAGAGCAAGTCCATCAATCGAATTATTTTAAGCCAGAGGATAATCTGTCTACGTGCATGGGTGCATACGGACCTGCATCCATTCCTGAGATGCTCAGGCAGATCAGCTCTGTGGCGCTCATGTCAGAGCCATGACAGAATGCTTTTCTGAGATTAATAAGTGACAGAGAGAAGGCTGTTTCCAATGGAAAAAGGAAGCGAAGAGCTGGCTTGTTTCCATGGAAACAGTAGCAGCAGCAGGCAGAACAGCTGTAGAGAAAAAGGCAGAAGTTAGGGAGGCAGAAATCTTTCTGATTTTACCTCACCGCTATGTCAGTGCCACCAGATACCATCTAAATTTAATGCAGATCAGAGTGGCTTACCTTGAGCGGGAAACTTCTTAAGCAACTACTTGCAATTAAGACTCTTAACAGCCAGCATTCCAGAAATGAATTAATGAAAAGTACTTATGAGTTAGCCTGTGCACCTATGAAGCCATGGAACGTGCGAGTACCCATAGCAGTGATGGGTCACAGTGTTTGTCCCAGGCACAAAGGTGCTGTTGCTTTAAAAGCAACCAATGTAAATGAACGGATTCTTTTCCCACTTAAGAATAAACACTACACTCTGATTATCAAGATGGCAAGAGGAAAGCCTACTCTTTCAGTTTCTTTGTAATCTCTACCGTCTTCTTTATACAATCCTATAACCATTTTCAGATAGGAGAAAAATCTTCGTAAATCACAAATTTCTAAGACTTGCACTTAGAAATTAAATGCCAGTTCTATTTTTAATAAAGCAAGTGAGCCCTGCACTTCACTATTGATGTACACTCTGAGCTGGCCGTATCCTCCCCACTCCATTCACGGTGTGTCTGTCAGACTATCCCAGCAGTGCTGCTTCCACCAAAAATAAAAGCCGTTTGCATCCTGAGCAGCCCACATAAACCACCCTGGTACCCAGCACTTATCCACCTACCTGGAAAACAGTGCACAAGCCACCAAAGAAAGATGCAAGTTAACTTCACTAAGAATGCCTTCCCATATGATTTCTGGGGCTCTAAGCCTTGAGGGGACCCATTAACCCCATTCTCTCCCTTGCTTGCCTCCCTCACTTCGCCAACCCTTCCCACAGCTGACCTCTCTGAGTGCTGGAGGCCAGAAGTGTCACTGCAAGCAGCCTCCAAAGGCATCATCGCAGGTACAGCCACACTCAGGAGCTTCTCTTTTCCAGCAGCACACAGCCCGGCATCCCTGTCCCATCCCTGCTCTGTGCATGGACAGACAGGCTGCTCCTGGGGACAGAGAGACAGCCATGAACACTGCGAGTCCCCCTGCAGCTTCTAGTTCCTGTGCTAAGTGCAAGAATAATCCACAATCCTTAACAAAAATCAATGATGAACACTAATTATTTCTTTAAACAGCATCATATTTCAACTATTATTCAAAAATAAAAGGCCTTAAAAGCTTAATTAATTTGAAATATGGTATCTGAGATTGGCGCTGACATTCCGGGTCCCGCCGGGCATCTGCAGACACTCTGTCAAACTCAGTGCTAATTACATCTCTCGTACTTCCTTGCAAACTATTTGGACGTCTCTCTGCACATTACTAAAGCATAAAGAGCCCCTTGTGCTCACGAGCCAAGGACCATCAGAGACCCCAAAATACCCCACCGTTGTTAACCAGTCACACAACACACCGTGCAATAAGAGTTGGGTACAGAACTGCATCACACAGGAGGATTTGGCTGCCCAATGCGTCTCGTGCTAGGGCAGCTCTTAAACTGGGACCTCTCCATCCAGACAGCAGTGCTCCATCAGAGAGCAATCTGTGAGAGGCAGCTTCGGGGAGCTCAAAGCAAAAGCAGTGCCACTGCACCCTTCCTTACAATCCACAGACAGAGAAATCCAAAATGGTGAAATGAAAACAAATGATATTCAGATGCAACTCCTGAACTTGAGATACAAAGGAAAGTGTTGCAGGTTTCAAAGCAATCGCATGCATACGATGCGCATTACATTTTGTATTTACAAGAAGTATGGCTACCAGATGTCACTATCAAACTGCATATATTAAAGTTGATTTTTTCAAGTCCTTAATGCAGTACACCTTTTTGTCAACAGATGAGTTCCACTGTTTATATAACATCGCTGGATGGTCTTGCTAGAATAATCTGTGCGTGCACTATCCCCCAATAGGTTACCATGGCAACTTATATTTGAATTTCTATAAATTTCTATTTTTAGAGACTACAGTTTAGGATAAAGAAAAACAGAAATATTAACTGCCACCCCATTAATAACCAACATCCAGTTTTTCTCAACATCACGTTCCTCCGAACAGACAGTGCGGAAGTTCAATCAGGCAGCACTGCTACGGATCACCACCGTCATTAAGAAAGTTTACCAGCAAGCTGTCTCACCACCACCCCAGCAGCGCATGAGTCAGGAGCTCGCACTGCGAGGCACAATTGATGCTCACGGAGCTTTTCTTGCGCTCAGTAAGGATCTCACCCAAATATTTTTAGAGTTAGTCATCATTTCAGCCGATACACAACAACGCTGCGTTTGCCAGAATACTCAGAAAACAAAGTGTCTATCTCAGGTGCGGGGAAATACTGAACTGACAACGGCAGTTCAGCTCCCAGCTGGGTGTACCACCACCCAAACTGCCACGCATTGGGGTGTGGGTGCAGGCGTATGCGGGCCCTGAGGCACAGGGGTGCCCCATGCTTCCAAGTTGCCAGCAGCAATCCGAGCAGCCTGCCTGAGTGGGGGGGTGCAAGGGGAAATGACTGCACAGAGCAGCAGCGCTGAACAGAACCAGAACTTGGGGCTGCAGCTCTGGCATTGCCTCGCTCTGCCTGCCCGTGGCTGAAATCAGAACATATTACTTTAAACCCCTTTCTAACTTTACGAAGCTAAATATCTTCTCTAATAGATGATCATTGCCAGCGCTCCACCAAGTTCAGTGAAAGGCTCCGTGCCATAAAAGCTGCAGATCTGCTGCTGTCAGCAGCTTCTCCAAGAGTGGTGGGGAACACCACACTGCTGTTAGGTCAGGTACTGACAGCTGAACTCTGCTGAGTTCGGGCAGCCAAGATGTGAGCTGCGTGTGTGTCCTTAATGAGCAACAATACAAACACTACCAATGTGTATTCTGAACACAGCCTGCTCTAGAGACAATTGGGGTACCAGCTGGAGTTCAGCACCCCCTGACACCCCACTCTCTGTCAGGCTGTGGTGACTCCAGCGGCACTGTTGGGGACAGTACTGATCGCTGACACAGGATGAGGTCTGAGTTCTTCACAGAGACACCCAGTGAAAGCACTGTGAAATGCTTCCTGCAGCTTTAAATCCAAGCCCATTTCAACCACGAGCTCTTTCTCATGTGCTGCAGGCAGGACTCGCTGCTGGGTGTTCTTCCCACAGCTGAGTTCAAAGCATCACTGCATACTTCTCCCAGAGGTGTTACAACCATTTGCTTGTTCCATGGGTTAGAAAGCAAAACCCATCACCGCCAACAGCAGTAACTACAAGTCAGGGCTGAAACTTGCACCGTGCTCCAGCACAGAAGAAAGAGCCAAAATCTGAAATGCCACCTGTCAAGAACTCGCTGAGGACCAGTGTTCCCTCACAGCCTTCAGCTGCAGAGCCATGAGGGCCACCCTGACAGGCAGAGGGCAGGTGGGTGCCCTGTCACTGGGTCCCACAAAGCTCATCAGGGCAGGAGCACCGAGCAGGAGCTGCCGGCAGAGCCCTCCTGGAAGGGCTGTGGGCAGCCACCACCTCATACAACCCAACACTTCCCTGAAAGCCAGAGCACATGGAACATATACAGCCTTGCATGCCCCCAGAACGGGCACTTAGAGCCCACTGGTACACAGCGTGGTCCCCCAGTCAGTAGCGCTCCCACATCCCCACTGAGACCAGGATGGCAGGCACAGCTCAGTCCAGAGGGGCCGGTGTCACACCTCACAGCATCCCACCACGGCACCACTGCACAGCCCACCCCGTGGAGGCCGACCTCCACCAAGACGCCCCACACTGCCAGCACCCCGAGGCTCCCGAGGCACCACCACCGCCATCACCCAGACGTGACGACGCATCACCCGGGAGCGCCGTCGGCAGGCGCTTACCCTGGCGGCCCGGGAGGAGTAGGGGTCCTCGAAGAGCGCCCAGACGCGGGGCTGCAGCCGCCTCCAGCGCCCACCCTTGCCCTCGGCGGCCGCCGCCACGTCCTCGATGCCCAGCCGCTTGGCCGCCATGTCGTCGTCGTCGCCGTCGGGAGGCGGCTCGCCCGTCAGCAGATCGGGCGCCTCGAAGATGTCGAGCGCTTCCTCGGCGTCGCGGTGCTGCCGGTAGGTCATCCAGCAGCAGGGCTCCACGTCGGTCTCGTCGATGCCCCAGAACGCCAGCTCCTCCTCGAAGAGCGGCCCGCACACGTCGGCGGGGCAGTGCAGCTTGCCGGTGCGGTAGTAGTTGAGCACATAGGCGAAGACCCCCGGGTGGCGGTCGAAAAAGAACTCGCTGACCCCGCCGCCGCCCCGCGGGCTGCAGCCGCTGCCGGGTTCGGGGCAGCCGCCCGCCGGCGGGGCCGCGTTGGGGGGCGGCGGCGGCGGCTCCTCGGCGCCCGGAGACTCGCCCTGCGACTCGGCGGCGAGCAGGGCCAGGCGGGTGCCCGGCAGGGTCTTCAGGGTGCTGCGGTAGGTCTCGTGCCGCGTGCCCCCCACGTTGAGGATCACCCTCTCGTTGTCCTCGAGCTTCCCCATCGCTCCGGGTGGGACATGACTGGGGCGGCGCGGGGCGGAGGAGCGGGACGAGCTTCTGCCTTCAGCACGGACAGAGAGAAGGAATGAAGGAGAAGCCCCCCCGGCATCCTCGCGCCATTGCCCGCCTATCCCGGCCGCCTCCGTCCCACCCCGTTTCCCGGCGCGATGTCCCCGCGCCGAGCTCTGCCTCCCGCCGCCCCCAACGGCTCCACTCCTCCTCGAGTCGATAGCACGGAGCGCGGGCAGCCGGTACCGAACCGCGCCTCCAGACTAAGCACACAAAGAGACGTGGGAGATCCGCGTCTCTTTCCCCCGCCTCTAACCCTGAGAGGGGAATAGCCGCGTGCGAGGGGACGCGAGCCCCGGCAGCAGCAGGCAGGGCGGAGGTCGCTGCCTCTCAGACGCGCCCGCGGCGGGGACAGTCGGGGAAGGGCTGCTCCCGGCCCCCGCCCCTCAGTACCTGGACCGGCGGCCCGGCGGCGGCTCCTCGTCTCGGGCGTCGGCGGCTGAGCGAGAGCTACTTGTTGTATTGCTCCGCGTTCAGGTGGCCGCGCCGCCTCCCCCCGCGCTCAACTCCGGCGGACGGAGAGGCGGCTCCGGCCGCCCTCGTGGGAACCCCGCGGCCATGGCGCACCGCCGGCGGACACCTGAGGCCGCGCCGCTCCGGCACCGTGCGCGGGGAGCCGAACGAGAGCCAAACCACGGCCGGGGCCGAAGCTCCGCCCGCGGCGGGGGCAGCGCCGCCCCCCACAGCTTTCGGCCCCGCCGCCGTGTGCGGGTCTGCTTCGGGAAAGCAGCGCGGAGGGATGGGCGGGTGGCTGCGGGTGTACGCATCGGTACGCCCCCTCCTCCGTGTGCTGAGGGAGGGGGGAAGGGGGACAGACCGAAGGTGAGAGCTCCTGTAATGTACCAGAGGAGCGAGTTGGACCCTGTCCGTGCCTGTGCCAAGCTCGCTGCCTCCAAGGAGGCTGAACCGTTTCATACAGCATTCCTTTTTATATTCCTTTTTGCTCTCTACTGAAATTAGTCAAAGGGAAGTAGGCATTCAGACTCAGAGGCTGAAAAGAGGGGCTTTCAGCCCTAGAGGCTCTGCCTGCCAGGCAAAGCGAGAGGCGATTCCTCATAGGGCTTCCTCGGAAAAAAGTTCTTCCTCCGCACGCAGGGCGCTGCTGGCACAAGGCGGGGTAACAAACGGGATAAGGCTGTCTGAAGTGTCCCCCTCCATGTCAGAGACTCTGGCTGGACGCTGCTGACTTAGGGGGGCAGAGCTCTGCTGGCAGCGTTGCTCGGAGGACACCGTGCTTTGACCACATTGCCCTAACCCAGATCTGTCTCTGTGGGGCATCCGTGATGTAAATACAGCCACCCAGAGCAGCAGCAACTTTCAGAAATGAGTTTCAAAAGCATGTTGCTGATGTACGTTTTGAAGTTCTTAAAAAAAAAAAAAAAAGAAAGAAAAAGAAAAACTGGAATATTTCCTGCCAAGGTACATAAAGTCAGTCAGTGAAAACTCCTGAGAGCCAAAATTAATATTCAGTTATAGAGTTGGAAATCCGGTGGAAAGCACTCACCCATCTTAAACCAGAGCAGTGCTTGCTTCTCTTTGCAGAGGGGATTTGTGAGAAAGGGGACACAGGGGAGAGCAGAGCAAAATGAATATTCATCATCTTCCCTCTGACCTAAGAGAGGTTTCTGGAGAAATGCAACACAATGGAGCACTGCAGCATTCATCCCTTATGGAAAGCCATGGGGTGGCAGCAGCTGCCAGAGCACCAGGCAGGCTGTATCAGTGCAAGTGCTGGGATGGCCCCTTGGCTGCCACTGCCACCCAGAGCCCATGTCCATGTCGGGATCCAGCCTAAGGTCTCCTTCACAAGGACCAGCCACCACTACAGGGACTAACAGGGATGGCATCTCACAAGCTGAGTTTTACTGTTGTACCCCATAACGCAGATACCACGAGGAAGGCCCGTGTTACAAGAAATTAGCTTATGCTTCAGATTTCCTTAAGATAGAATGGGGGGGGGGGGGGGGGGGGGGGGTTTACTTGTGGGAAAGAATAAGCCACAGAAATAATTTTTCTAACTGGTAAGACAAGAATGGTCTCTTCTATAGCGTAACATTCCATCAGTCAAGTCAAAGCATCTGTATCCTACAATCTCTGTTTCTAAATATAATGCTTTTCATTTCTCTGTGTCACTCTTCCCTGTGTTTCCAGCATGCGGCACATTTCTCAATGAAGGATGAAATTATGTCAGACATTGAGTTCCCAGAGCCAGCGTTTTATTAAGTGATACCAGCGAACACGCAGACAATATTCAACATAGGTGGGAGAATTAGCAGTTATGAATTAATTTCACCCCCCACAGGACACAGAATTTTGGCACCACCTTTTTGCAACAGAAGCAGAAACAAATTAGACATAAGTACGAGAGAAGCGTGCCTGCCAGGTTAGACTTACCATGAAACATGTCTGCAAACAAACAAAACAAATTAAACCTATCCACAGACTGTCAAACATTTTCAGGTAAAAGTTTAGTGGGAACATTTCTGTAGCTCAGGACTGTGAACTTTCCATGAAGAACTGAGTGACACTGAGCAGTACACAACCAATTTTCCCTACTGGGTAGGAGGGTTCCTATGGGATTGCTTTAACTGAGAAAGCAGTGACATCAGATGCTATTAGATGATGAGCATTTTAGCTACTAGAAGCTATATTCTTCTTGCAAGCTTGAGTACTGCAGTGCAAAGTCATTGAATGAGCAGCTGTCTAAATGAAATAAATGGGAGAAAGGACAAGGCAGAAAAGAAAAGCAGATCTGATGGAGAAAGCCACACTCTAGATTCACCCACCCCTCCACAGGAGCTCAGTTGACTAGAGGCAGCTAACCTTCCCAGCTGCCTCCTGGGGTGAAACACAAGGCAGAAGCCTCTGAGTTTCTCTGGTGTGGGCACCATCTCGTATTTTTCATACGATGTTGTAATTGGAGAACGAAGAAATCAATTTTATAATTGAGAATTACAATGAAGATAGTGCAACAGCCAAAATACGATCAATTTATATCAGGTTAGTTGATGATTAAATAAGCAAGTAATTATTTTAAATATTTGCCATCATTAGCATGTTATTAAGGTTCCACTTATTTCTTTTGCTTGTTTTTCCATTCTCCCTATTATTTATAATCATTCTCACTGTTTGCATGTACTAATTCATTCCAGAACTTGTGCAACGTGACAGCCACATTATACTGAAGTGCACTGGTGATAAATTAGAATAACCATTCGGAATTTGGGGACAAAAAAGAAGTCTTGGATTAAGTAAATGTCTGTAAAATACAACTGTTAGAAGCCATGGGGTAGTGAAACCGCACAAGGCTAGAAGCAGAGCCAGCAGGAAGATGTCATCATTTTTCATTTCTAGAGCACAACTGCATTTTTAGTCAATGCAGTAGAAATGTAAATGTGGTTTGATCAATACCACAGAATTGGTGAAAATAGGTCTCCTTGTAGAAAATGATCCAAAAAAGCAACTGAGATTGGATGAGATGAGCAAAATGTGGAAGTGTTCGTGCTCTCCAATACTCCCCCCAGAGCAGGCAGAAGTCCCCAGTATGGGCCAGTGCACGTACACAGATGTGTTCCACCCACCTTCTGCCATCACAGATCTTCAGCTCTTTGTGCCATCCTGGTGAATGGGGTGTCACTCACTGGAAAACAAAAAACTGGAAGAATTCCTCTTATGTTATATATATTAAAGAAAGAAAAAGTAGAGGACTCAAGTCTGGGGTCTACTGAGAAGCCACAGCACGTGTTGGAAACACAGGTGTGTGCTAACTGCACTGCCAGATTAGTATTGCACAGCACAAGTAGGGTGGGGAGTGAGTGGTAAAATCCATAGCTTTCCATATGTTAAAATAGGCTTTTGGTTTCTCTTTCCAAAAGAGGGGTGTTGGGAAGCGACATGCCCACTGAGCTGGGACTGGCACATTCTATGTTGTGCAGCTCCAGATCTTCATCACACCCAGCTCCCATTGCAATGCACACTCCACTTATCATCAATCAATATTCCAGCTGTCATTGAACAGCTAGCCCATGTTTCCAAAAGAATAGAACCACTTACTAAAGTAATTTAGGAGTGGTTTTATGTTTCATTTAATGGTAATTTTAAGGGATCTTCTCCTGAAATCAATTCAAATCCGATATAGAACCAGCATAAGATGGTGATTTATCTGAGGAAGTCAACAAACTCTCCTTCAGATGACATCAAAATCAATGGAAACACACAAAAGAACCACAACCATTTTCAGACAGCTCCAGCATTGCTCCACCCAGTTTTTTTGTTCCATCACAGCTGAACTAGAAATCCACCTCATCTATCATTTTCCTCCTTTCTGTGACTAACCAACTCCATTAATTTCATTAATGTTTAATAAGAGACCCCACTTTATCTACTCCAACAAGACAAGGGATCTGCTTTAACAAGTTATCTTCTAAGGACGTGTGCACTGGTGATCTTTCAGGCATTCCTGGAGGAGCAGCCATTTTCATTGATCACTGATTTTTTTAATAATGATTAATTCTCCGCTATTGATCCAAGGAGTAACAATTATGTTTTGCAATGGCTTTGTTCTCTCATCATGAGCAGTTACAGTATTTCTGTCAGAAGAAAATCCCTGGGATGCAAGTGGCAGAAGTCTCACACAGAGTCTCAGTGACTGAGGCAGGCAGATCTTAAATCTGATGCCGTTTCTGTGCGGCAAGCAAAGGTTTCTTCAGCGTCTGCAGTCTCATACAGCAGATCCAGTCTCACTGTATGCAAGCTTGATTAATTTTGACTGCTTCCATTCAGTTGCAGTCAAGTTTTTCTCTCTGACTTTTTTTTTCGTACCACTCTGCAGACAAGATTGCCCAAATCTGGACTGAGCTGTCTACTGCCATGGAAACAGAACAGTATTCTCAAAAGATAAACACTGCATCTCCTCTGCTAGCACTTCAGCCTTGTTCACAAAAGTTAGAAGTTTGGCACAGGTTTCTTTTTGCAGCCTGTAAACTTGGCTATTACTTTGCCTGGAAGGAGAGAGCCCAATAGGGAATCCCACATCCACCACTGGTTGCACCATCAGCATTTCTCCTCTGAGGCAAGGGGCCAGCAAGCCTAAGGAGCCATGCAAGCTTATGCTTAAGCAGAGAAGTCTTGGCAGAAACAGCCTCACTGGCTGTTAGCAGCCTTTGTATAAGGAAAAATCAAAGGAAGCTTCAAGTTTTCTTGAGTCTTTATGCACCTTTAAATGCATCACCTTGAGTGCAGAGCAAGCTGGTCACACTACTGTTATACTTGATTGCCAAAGATGGCATGTCCACACTGATCTTGCAAGCATTATAACAACATTTGATACCCTTGAGAGCTTTTCCAGATTTGTTTTGACTAAGACTCTTTTGCAGTAAAAGTCTAGAACAGAGATGATTGCTGGGCCCTGAACTGATCTCACCAGCCAGACTACAGCAGGGATCTGTGTGCCGTAAGGAAAGGTGAGCAAGATGAACGTCTTCTTAGCTTTAGCTATACCACTTTGCTACAGTAATTTCCTTATCCTTCTTACAGGAGAAAGGTATGTGCCTCTACAGAAAGGCCTGGTACCCTGCTTTTCCTACACAAGTGGACAGACTGAAGTCTGTAGCACCACAGTGCATGCACCAGTTAGGCAGCAACTTGCCAAGACCTTTCTGCAATGCACGGCTGTTCCTGTACCTTCAAAGGTAGCAGTACCTTTGTGCTGTAGCACCTTCTTCATTCCTTCTCAACTTTTTTGCAAACAAAACTGAGCCGAGAGCGTTATTTCCCTTCAGTACCATTGTGCTTTAGAAAGCCAGCTCTGGCAGGCCCCAGATGGACCCCGAGGTTTATGGCCTGCGTCGTGCAGCTTGCTGTGCAGCCTGACAGCAGGAAAGGCAGAGACAGCAGTCAGCCTGCCATCGCTGTGCTGGGGGAAGCTGCTTCGGTGCACAAGGCAGCGCATGGCGGTGTTCACGAGGCAGTCCCTCACTACCACTATGTGCCACTCAGATTCTTGTCTGCTTTTTGTTCCCCAAGATGGAGGCCAACAAAACAAACACACAAAATTGAAATCTTTCCTATTATGTTTACGAGTAAATGCTTACCGTCAAAAATGGAAGTACTCTCGTATCACATAATAATTTGGTTTTTTAAGCTCTGCAGTCAGAAACATCACATGGGATATTCAAAGTGCCTTTTGAAAACATGAGTGACTGCTAAAGATGGTCTCTTTGAGAGTTGCTTAAACAACAAAAATCATCCTGTTCTGAAATCCTGCCTTTTTAGGGTTACTCTCGCCTCGTGTTCCTGCTAATCTGTGCAGAGAAGATTTACTCTGACTTTTAAATTATCTTTTCTTTCTACCAATTATCGATATTTGTTAAGCAAGCAGCAAGCTGAAATGCCTGTGCTTACATTGCACTGCAGCTGCTTGTATCATTAGCATAATATTCCCTTCTACAGCTCTCTCCCTCTCCTCTTCTCCAACACAGATGTTACATTTCCTGAGGCAAGAACTGCGCCCTGTGGGAACTGCTTTGCCCAGCTCTGGGCTTCAAAGCTAGAAAACGCACCAATGTGACTGACCCAGCACAGAAAGATTCTTCCTCACCTAAAGAATTATAATAGAAGCCCAAAAGCAAAGAGAGTCGCCCAGGAGCAGCCTGCCATCCCAAGTGTAACTTTAAGCTCCTCCAACGCTGTGACTGAAAGACTGCCAACCATGCTCCAGAAAGGGCCGCTCCAGTTTAAAGTCCACCAGAATCACAATTAAAACTCATTTACAGTTTTTAATAACTCCTTGACTTTGGCATTTAGCATTAATTTAGAAAATTGCTTTGGAGGTTCTTAGGGTCAGCTCCCATCCTACAGTCACCTGGCCCCTTGTGCAGAATGCGGTCACGAACACAGATGGACAAGACTGACAGCCCGTGGGCTCTCCTCAGGGAGGAGCATCACTGCACCTTGTTTTGTCACAAGCACACTCAGCTTCACAGAACAGAAATGGCATAATCCACTTCTAAGAGCACAGAAGCATGTCACAAACCTCCCCCCACATTTTTATTAATTTGTATCACTAATTGACATTTACCATTACGATTTTTGCTTGATGATTCTCAACATTTCCCATCAGGACAGATACTAGGAATTGGCAATTTCAACAGTCTTCTTCCCTATGGTTACTTGAAACTATGCAACAATAATGCCTGGAAGCACATTAAATCCACAAAAAGCAGAATATTATAATTTGGACTACACTTAGTTGCCGTATCAGGCACTTCCAAAATGCTGCTTTCAAAAAAATGAATTTAAAAGAGACAAGTTCCAGCACCAGTTTGACCTCTGTTGGTGTTTATTTGGTCTTGAAATGTTGAAAAAGGGTCAATTCAACAACATCTACTGCATGAAAACAAGTGCAATCCTCACAGATGAAGCTTGTGCTTAATGACTAACATCTGCAAGGCGAATACTACCGTCAGAGGAAGTGACTTCAGGGGAGTAATTTTACCAGCATGAGTACAGGATCTAATTCATGCCAAGACGAATCACAGGATCTAAGAATTAGTCATAGGAGTCATTAATTGTGCACTTACTTAGCATAGGTTGTAAGAAAAGGGAGTAGTGCTTAAGATAGATCACTGAAGCTGCTATTTTAGTTTCCACTGATTTTAACATGCACACTCCTATAGTGGCCCAGGGTTTCCTCACATAAAGTGTAAAGCAAGGTAAAGTAGGCTTCCCCCACAGCATTTTCCTACCAAAGCGAGTTTTGTGAGGGCCCTGGCCAAACCTCAAAGTAAGAACAGACATGGAGTTATCAATAGCCCCAGAGGCAGGATTAAAAAAAAAAAAAAAAAAAAAAAAAAAAAACAGACACCACAAGTATCCTTGACACTGAGAGGGACCCTTGTAACAGAGACATTTGGAATCTGAATTAATCAGTTCCTACTGAGTTTAGCTCCCAGCTTCCATCAAGGCAAATCCCTGCTGCCTTTCTACTGTTTCATCTCCCCTACTGCCCCTAAAAGTACTATTATTTGATGTCTTTTGCTTTTTTTTCTTTTTTATGTATTTGCTTTAGTTCATCTCCATTCACTCTCTACCCTCTCCATTATACTTGCTTGCAGCCAGACCATATAACTGCTTGATGTTTTCGAAAGCTAAAAAACAAAACAAAACAAAAAAGAACAGTAGCTTCGCCATAAGGTCAGCTTTCTTGTTCTAGTGTGGCCAAGACAAAAATTTAGATGTGTGTAAGTCATCTCCATCCCAAAAGCTGCCTAGGAGCCAGCAGCAAGGTAATGCTGGGGCATCACAAGGGCTGTTTGAAAAGCAGTGCCTCTTATTTTACTATGTTGACCCCTGACATCAGAGGCAGATGTTGGTGGTATGGCCACAGAGGCTGAAGCTTCGCACCAGTGTCCCATTACACTTTGTTGCTGTGACAGATGGCAGCAGAGGGGCAGTCTGACACAACGGCGCTGACGTGGAAGTACATATGAAGCAATAGTGTGTCACTGAATTCCTCCATGCAGAAAAAAATGCACCTACTGACATTCACTGATGCTTGCTGGATGTTGATGGAGACCAACCGGAGGCAGTGATCACCATGAGGCAGTGGGTGGCGCATTTCAGCAGCGGTAACTGTGGGTCGCTTGCGCTAGTGCTGATGTTTACAAGCATGGCATGTGGTCTCTTGTTCATTGCTAGTGAAAATGCATAGCTAATGGAATTGAAAAATATTGTTTTGTACCTGAGAATTTGCTCTATCAAATGGTGTTACTGTGCTCTTTGTATCTGTTGTAACTTCCCTGGAAATAAACAGGAGCTATTACTTTTGGAGAAGTGTGTGCGTGTTTGTGTGTGTGCATATACATGTATAACTCCTGTGGGGAAAAAAACAGCCTGTTTGGGTCTGGAAGGAAATGCTAGCTTCCTCTGTCATCACTGGTGATACCTCAGGATTACAAAGCAGAGTCCACCTGACTCAGCTTCCAATAGACAAAGGTAACAACATGAAAGCCCAGTACAGAATTGGCTCAGTCTCTAATTCATGACTATAAAGGAGAGGAAAAATAGATTATTAGATGTTATACACACAGAAAAAATTACGCTATTTTGTACCAGCCCCTTTTCTTCCACAGAAACTTACCTGTTTTGCTTTTGTATGGGCTTATGTAGACCAACACAGAAGAAATCAATTCTAGGCTTTCTGTTTTACATGAGAGATAACCTGTTCTAAACCAGACACAAACTAAAGAATACCTCAGTGCGCACGTTTTAGCAGGGATGCTGTCCCTGAAGGAGAATAGAATTTGATCATCTGGCCGTGGCTCTTAAGGAAGAAAAATAAGTTTGTGTGTGTAAATCAGTCAGAACACCTTATCTTACCACCAGAGCTATCCCAGGTGAGGATGCTACATTTCCATTAACTGACAAAAGAGAAAATTCTGATTATTTGTACAGGTGCTTGTATTTTGCTTCTTAAAATGTCCACAAACATTCCAGCCAGTATTACCAGTGCACATTTGCTTGATGAAATGGTCTCAGACCTTAAGATTGAGAAGTTATATCACTTCATTAATTTTCACTTGTCTTCTGGGAGTGCATGCATTTCTTAGGACAAAACATGCTTGCAGCATAATGGACTTCTCCTATTCTCAATTACATCAGACTGCTAAGACTTCTTAGCATAAGTTTAAATTAGGCTGTCATTAAGACCACTAGTTTTTAGTAATTTTAAGGAAAGAAGCCAGTTCTGTGGCTGAGAACACCATGTTTAAAAACACATTCTAATTCAGAAAACATAAGCAACTTTGAGATACTAAGGCAGGAAATACAGAAAAGAGTTTTGTTCAAACACATTTAGAGGCATTAAGCCCCAGCAGATATATCCAGAAAGTGTTAAAGTTACAAAGCATTGACCAAAGAAAAGGCTTTGGGTTCATCAAATGATTCACAATTAAAAAAGAACAAATCAGAACACAATTAAGCAGAGCATTGAGACCGCTGCTACTAAGAACATCTTTTGACAGCTTTTCTGAGTACTGGAACACAGCAATACAGATCACAATGGTTGGTTATTCTCAGTTCTGAATAATTCAACCATAGAAGCAGATTTCAAGCCCCTTCAAACAAACAAACTTATTAGATACTGAGAGAAAAAGAAAACCTGTTGGGGTTTACAGAATCGCGTTGCTGCCCTGCCTTTCTTTGCTATCTGATTTCCAAAGAGGAACAGTACCGACTAAGATGGACAGCATTGATGGGTGCTTGCTTCCAATACAGAAAACAAAAAGAATCAGATGTCACAGACCTTGGTTTGAATATGGTTTCAGTCCTTCTGGTTTTACAACTAACTGTGAGCACGGTGTGCCAGGTTTGCATAGAAGTTTGTGTCAATTCTTTGCCACTTTCTTAAGCTGACAGAACAAATAACAGCAGGCAAATGGAAGACGACTTTTTAAAACAGGAGCTTTTGTGAACTCCATTAAAAATTCAGAGACATTATAGCTGATGTTTAGAGGCAGCCACTGATGTGTAACTGACCTTGAAGTTAATAGAAATGAAATACCTAGCAGGTTTTTCAGAATTACTAGAGTACATACTTACATTTTTTAGGCAATTTTTGACCTTTAGAGTTTATTGTAGATTAACCAACTAAAATTTTGACTTCAGATGAAGAAGCATTACTACAAAAATTATAGAAATATCATTCATGTACATCATTCACCCAAGTTTTGTGCTTAAAAAAAATTTTAAAAAGCACTTAATTTGCAGCACATAGGACCTGTGCAGCTTCTGCTGAGCGTGTCCATTTCAGAATCACCAGTTCCATGAGCAACTGACAGAACCTTACCAGCAAGAGAAATTTCAGCAGGAATGGGGAATAAAAAGATTGTAATGAGCCACATCAGAACTCTTCTTAGAATAAGCAATGACAGAATTTTGCTTTGTTTTGTAAACCAACGCAGACATCTGCAGCCTCAAAAGAACTGGGAAAAAAAAAATCCTTCATTTGAAGGTTCAGAGCAGAAACTGCAATTCTAATTACAAGAAAGGTCAGGCTACAGAAATTCAGATGATAACAAAAACATAAGTAATTAGAACACAAAAATGCTGTATCTAGAACAAACCAGTCAGACACAGGGGGTCTAAAGTCCCTCATTTTAGCATTCATTTCAGCACTGTCCCTAAATTTCTGTAGAACACAAATTCTGTTTCAGAGGAAGTCCCCTGAACCCCAAGCTATACATTCAGAACTGGTCAGACCAGCAAGGGGAAAAGGAATATACTGCAATTGCATAAGCTTAAGAAATCCAGTTCAACACACAGTTAATTTTGGTGAGAGGTACACTGAAACCAAAGGTATCAATACATGCATATATAATTTGTTAATAACACATTTTTTGTTACTTAACACAATTAACCTTACAGAACTAAAAGGATGTATTACATAGAAAAGCTTACCTGGCTAAATATCTGAAGTAGTAAGAAATATTTTAATTCAGAATTTAGTTTTTGGTGCAATGGTGCTCTTTCAATACAGATTTTTCTGATCTATACTTTTAAATTAGACACGAAGTTCTGCATGTTAGTCTGACAAAGGATATAATTGCTTAATTAAAAAAAAAACTCTCAGAAATTCAAAGTAGAAAAGTCAGATATTTACATACAAATCTGATTTGAAAATAATTTAGCAAAACATAGGCAGAAAAAATATACTTGTGCTTATTAAGCCTTTGGTGTTCAACATTCAGCTTCAGACGCCTGACCAAGACGAAAAAATAAGATCAGTAAAGATGAGCTGGGTACTGGTTTCAAAACTAATTTGTGTGAACTTCTCTGCATTTTCAGTACAGCAGACGTCCTCCAAATTGGATGAAGATGGCCTTTTCCAGGCTGATCACCAACACAGTAAAGGAGAAATAAAGCAAATAATGTTTTAAGAGCAATTATACTATTTTTATAAAATAAAACTGAAAAAAAAAAAAGATACCGTGCCTACACTGTCAAAACAATCATAAAACTTTTTTTTTTTCTTGCATTACTCATACATACATTTTAGTATTCTATTCGACTTACTTTTAAAATAAGTCTCTTTGTTTAAACCTCCACTGCATGATGCCTCCTGGTATGGGGAACAGGCCATGAAAGTGCATAAAGAGCATTTCCATTAAAACAGTGGTCATTTCTGCTCAAAAGGCACTCTAAGAAACTTACCATGTCTTGTATGATTCTGAAAGCATCTAAAATTTTCAGTCCTTGAAATCAATATAAAGCAATAATTATTAAGCAATGCACATCATGATCAAATCCTCCCTTATGTAGCTCTGGTTTTGTTCAGGAGGAGTCTCTCCCTCATTTTTGTCTTCTTCCACTCTAAATTCCCCAAGGGTTCCTTAAGACGTTAACAAAATCGTCATCATCTGTGATTCCAATACTTAATCCTTCATAGTAATCTTCAAACTCAGAATAGGACACTTCTTCAGGATTGCTGCAGGATTCTCCTAATGTCTCTAGAAATGACACTTTAATTTCTTCTTCTGTAGCTTTGCCTGTGAAAGTTTATTTTTTCCATCAAACACATTTCTAAGACCAGTGAATATACAGCTTTTAGTCTATCTTAAGAAACGAAACTTAAAATTCAATATTCTGACTTCACAGGGGGCAATGAAATCATTTGTCTGCCTGGTATCAGCTGCAGTATTTACCTTACTTTGATAGCAAATGATAGCATTAAATATAAATGGAAACATGAGGCCAAAGTCAGTTTCAATGGATTATGAGATCAAAAAGATTTTTCCTCAAATGACTGAGAAAACTGAACAATGTATTCTTTAATTAAAATGTTGGTAATTCAGAGGTAAACTTGTAACAAAACATGCATTTAACGTAAAACAAGCTCAAAGCTCTAGGAACACATTAAGATATGACTTTCATTCAAAAACATTCCGGATTGACAAGTGCTTTTTTGTGGCTTAATCAAGATTATACTCAGATAACTTTTACTGCACTGAGGAAAAAACTGGAGAAAATACAGCATTGTAGAGAAAAAAACTGCACGTCCATCATCCTTAAGCCACAGGCTGTCCTCATGTGCTACTATGATGTTGCTGGCAAAAAAAAAACATCCTCTTCTCTATAGGTAAAATAGAAGGGGTCAAGACATCAAGGAGGCTTTCACAGTAATGAGTCCAATACATTGGAGATGTTGTTTTAGAAACTGACCTACAAAGATTTAAACTCCTATTATTTATTTTTTTTTAGCAGCAAGAGTTTAAACACGCTGCTATCTTCATTATTTTTTCAGAATTCTCAAACATTTCCTCAGTAAAGAGGAAAAATCATGAGCAGAAATAAATGAATAATTTATTCAGAAGGAACTTCAAGTGATGAGAAAATCGTGTCACTTGGAAACCTTCTGTATATTGAGAGAGAACAGTAACATGAAAGGGAGAGCATCCTCCTAATTTAAGACTGCTAATATTGTGTATGTCAGTGAGTGCTTGCACACAAGAGCTAAGATACGACTACTTAGATACAGTCCTACAAAGGTAAGGAAAGAAACCTAGCCTGCATATCTGAAGTCTTCGCAGTGTGATAAAAGTATTAAAATCATATAGATGAACTGCAGTACTATTTATAGTCCTGTTTCACGTTATGGATAACCAGAGGAGAAAAGTTCTTGTCAACAGCTGAAGTCTAGGCCAACACAAAAACATTTAATGTTTGCAGCAGCCTCTGAGTCTGTTTTCTCTGCTAACATGGTGAATTCATTAATTACAGGTATATTCTTTTTGTTCATATGAATTACCTGCCAACACTAGAGGATGTTTCTTTGCGCAGTAACATTTTCTGATGTCTACCATGGGAACACTTCCAGTTTTGTTGAAATCTAGTTTCATATAAGCCTAAACAAGGTAAAATTAAAAAAAAAAAAAAAGGAAATATTTAAGATCAAATATACTCACATACTTAATACGTACTTCTAGATCTTTTGCAATTAATTATTCTGACATAACCATTTTACATAAGTAAACTCAGTCTTCCATCACTGACACTTGGATGCCAGTAAAAGATTCTACGGTGGGGAATTTTGCAATCATTTTATTTCAACAACTTTCACATTAAATGCTGTCCCTCACAAACTCAAAAAAAAAAAAATTGTATTCTCTCCAAAATTTCTAGCACATCCCTGGCATCTGCAGTCAAGATGCTTCCTTTCTGCCTCCTCCAATTAGTATGATTCCAGTGTCATTCCAATAGAGGCTTCTTCAGCACTTCTTACAGCAGCTTCATTCTCATTCCAACAGTTTACTTTTAATACACACACCCAATGCAGAAGGCCAGGAGAGTCAGATCCTTCATAATTAAAAGTTTCAAAGTATGTGTCATAGTTTTTCATTATGATATTCCATCCCTACAATACTGGCTGATTTGCAATCAGTGTTTCATATTGGAAATGGTTCCACAATACACTGGCACTATAGTTTGTCTTTCCAATTTCTAGATACACATTTAACAAATGACATTTCCAATATAAAAAGCTCTCACTAACTTAATGCCTCTAACTGTGCATTTCAAAGAAGGCAAGCATTATTGCCTCTATTTCAGACATTGGAAGAAAAAATAAGCGCACAGTATACACAGATCACAGAGTGATCTGCCAAAATACAGAAACAGACTTTTGGAAGATACTGCTTCAGAGTGCCAGATGCTTCACACGCTGAAGTGAACTGTAAGAATAGCATACAGACTCAATCTCAAAATAATAAAATATTTGATTCTAGGTGGCAGAGTTCAAAACTAAATTTCATTCAACAGTGAAACAGCGTGCAGTCTTCCAGTTTACATTCATTTTAATTCACTCCTTTGACAATTTAAAAAGACAATTACCAGGAACAAAATGTAAGGAAAAATATTCAAATAAATAACCAACTCCAAAAGTTAGACTGCAAAATATCTATAATTACAGTGCAGTAAAACTTACCTTTCTTACAAATGCTTTCCGATATTCATTCATTTCTCCAGCTATAGCATGAATAAATTCTCCATAGTCGACTTTAGCACTCTTGCTATCATCAAGAATAAGCCATAAGGATTCAAAGTCCTGTAATTTAAAAATATTTTGCCAAAGCTTTTCATGACGTCCTGAAATAAAGCAATTGCTGCAGTGCAAACTTCACAAAAAAGAATGTCCCAATCCAAACTGACTTGAAGATTCATCAAAATAATTCAAGTTATCATCAGTCACTGGTAGCCATAATTCACATTGTTTGCAGTTTTGATAGTTGTGTATTGTTTTTGTAAAATAGTATTTAGAAGGAAGTCTGATAAGTAAATGGCATCACATACAATAACTGCAAAAGGCCCCAAAAGAAAAATAATTGCAATTCCATTCATCCCTCAGAAAGACAGCTCTTTTTATTTTCTTTTTACTTATTTCAGAATTTTACAAGGGGCTGAATGTAGAAATGCCAATGTAGCACCAGAAAAAAAAAGCCTTGCAAAAATTACACCATATTAAACTATAGATTTAAGCAAAGAAAAGAAGCATTTCAGTAAACTAAAGTGAGATACTGCCCATTATTACAATTTCAGTTAGACTTACCTGTTCAGACACTTCCAAATGGAATAGTTTTAGAGCTTCTTTAAAGTCTGCCTGAGAAAGAAAACCACTGCCGTTCTTGTCTATGTGTCGGAAATATTTTCCTAAGCCTGTTACAACTCTAACTCCTCTTTTACTTAAAGTGTCTCTGAGCATACCTGAGGATTTACAGAAAGAAAAGAGTGCAATATTCAGCCAAAGTTGACCACACGTTACAGAGCTGTTATAAACATAAACAAAACCACAACAGCCTGTAACGCTGCAGGTTAAAACAGCCAATCCACACATCCAGGCTCTCTTACCTTCAATGATGGCATAGGAGTTTAAAATGTAACTATCAATTATTTAACATTTGAATGGAAATTGTATAAATTAGCAGGAACATCTAACAAAACATTTAGAAGATCGCAGGAGGAAAGAAAGAATGGCAAAAAACAAAACAATTTAGTAATGCTGTACTTTGGTAAAACAAATGTTCTACTAATGAATACAGAGTGCCTCCTCTGCCTATAAACATGCTAATACATGTGGAACCAGAAACAACTATTAGTAAGTTTGTAAAATCATTCCAAACTTTCTATGCTAACAATGACAGCATTACCAACATCTGTTTTACTTCAGGGATGTCTGAGTTTCTCAGCATACCATAACAGAAGCCACCTATTACCTCACTACATTTTCAAAGTACTGGCACCTACTTAAAAAGCAAAATGGAGGAGAGAGAAACGCATTTTTTCCACTAAAGATCAAAGTCAGAAGTACATGAAAATACATTTTGCCTTCTTCCAGGCCACACCAACAAACTTTAGATATATTCAGATAATTGAGAAATCAATTTGTGTGTAAATTCAACTGTTTATGTTGACTACCAGTTACACAGCAAGAGCACAGTAAGGTGCTCATGTTGTCATAGTTTTAAACACAAAGCTGTGCCCTTGTCCAAAATAAGAACCAGGTGGGAACCTGGTAAAATTCAATTGCATATTCTAGATACTAAATTGTATTCACATATTTAGTACGAACACTGTTACATGAGTATGAAAAAACAACTTCTCAGTGAGTAGAAATAATGGTCGAAGAACTACTGAGCACAGAAGCGATGAAATGAGAACGTATTCTTGCATTTCATCAGTGCTTTTTTAATTTAGTTTAACAAAGGATTAGTGTTATACTTTAGCATATTTTAAAGATTTTTGTCATCACAGAGAGTAATATCATCTTGATTACACTCACAATTATTCCACACTCTTTCCAAAATCATTAAGCAGACCATCTATTTAAAGGAAAAGGAGAATAGAACGCATTCTTATGATAGGTTTATTCCGATATCAGACTCCAATAATATTCTGACAACTACCGAACTCTTGTTTAATTTTGTTTATTCAAATAGAACCTCTGAACTGCCATCACTGCTCCTTGTATTGATCAATAAAGTTAGAGACACAGAAATGAAAATCAAGGGGGTTCTGGTAGACACAAACCTTGAATTTTCTTGAACACTCTGCCGTCATCAATCAATTGCTCAGAATATTCTTGGTTGAATTTCAGGGAGGAATCTCTACAATAATCAAAATTTAACGTTGGTTGGTTAAAATCACACATAACGTTACTTGATGGAAAACAGCTGTAGTAGAAATGCATTTTTTCTGGCAACGGCCAGAAATCCACTAAATATGAGAATGAAAATGCTGCAAGCTGAAGGAGGAACACTGTTCAGAAGAGGAATGGCCGGTAGATCGGCATAAGACCAGAGGACCTGAGGATTTTTCTGTCATGAAGACTTCAACGAATGCAAACATGTCCGTATGCTGATTATTGGTTAAAAATCTGCTTTCTTTGCTTGGTCACCACAGCACTACATAATGTAATACTTTTTAAAATGTTCTGAGAAATGAATCATGGATTTCTAAAAATGTGTTTATGGGAAGAAAAAAAAAAAAAAAAAAAAAAAAAAAGAAAAAGAGCTAATGAATGGGACACTGATGATTGGGAGTCACATCCAAAGAATGTTGTGAGATAGCTCAGAGAAATTTCAAAAGGTTGAAATTCCTCTATGTGTTTATAAAATATCCCATGTATTTTCCACATATATTCTGAAGGAAAATGTTTTCCTCACAGTCTTTGAACTTAATGACTAGAACAAACTAGTGGCAAGGTGATTCTGCAAGAAAAGAATTAACTGGAAGTGTTCTACACTCACGTGCCTTTATTGTTAGCAATCTTAGGAGACATTGGAGACAAAGATCTGAATGAACTTATTCTTTCAATAACCTCATTGTTACAAATAGTCTGTGCAGATTCCAATTACTTTTAACATCTGATGACACTCAGACAGATGAGGCACTGAGCATTAAAAGGATGAATAACAGGGTAACAAAATTTCATATAGTTCCTCCTTTTTGTTCCAGTGTAAATCAGCCATCTGAAAAGAATGTCAGCAAAGTTGAAATCTCCCAGAAAACACATACACAGATTTGATGTGTATTTATTTGGACATTGCACAGATAAATCCTCCAGGAAAAAAAAAAAAAGAATCTCTCTCAAATAAAGAAATGAATTTTCCAGGTAACTAACAAGCAATAATGAGGCATAGTAATGACAGATATGTTAACACTACACAGTTCTGGTTTTTTTTTTTCCTCCTTACTATGCCCACTTACAGGAAGAGACCATATAGGAGCCTTAACAACTGACTTTGAAATGCCAGTTAATCACAGAAATTTTCTCTTGCACTGGAGATTAAATGGAGGGACTTTAGGTTTATTAAGAGCCTAATTGGGAAATGCACAAGCCTTCTCATTTCAAAAACAAGCCAACCACTAACAAACAGAAGAAAGACAAGCATCCTTCCATGAAAAAGAAAGCGCCATTCCATGACACTGGTTTGCAACTTTTCCTCTAGAAAGCAGGATTAGCTACATATATTTGACACTGATTTGATGCAACAAAAAGTTTCTGACCTCGTTTATATTTTCATTCACAATGCTAACTGTATGTCTGACAAAATAAATGAATGCAAACTCAGTGTTGTTAAGTTTGTTTTCTAAGTCCATCTGGTAAGGGTACAAACAATAGCAAGGATATAGATCAAAAGCTGGATCAGTACATCATAGGCATGAACAAGGAATTACAGTGAAACTGTGTATTTTTTTTCCTGGCAAGTGATTGTGTTCTGAAAAAGTGTCGTGTCCCTTCTGCCCCCCCCCAGAATCCCCAGTCAGAAATCATTACAAAGATTGATAGAAAAAATACTGTTGCAAATAATCTGTACGAAGAAAATGAACAAAACAAAAGAAAACCTACTCCTACTCCTGCAACTACTTTAATCAGAGTAGGAAGGCAGATGCAAAAAGCTCTACTGTCAATTTAGAACTGCTTGTTCACCAATGCCTTGTCATGGAGGAGTACTTCTTCCTTCAGAGGAAGAATTACTTCTCTCCTGCCTATTAAGAATTTACATCTTTCCAGTTTGTGTACCTTCCATTATGAAGTCCCTATGAACTTGTTCATATCAAACCACCTAAACTGTACATTACCATCAACAGCCACCTGTAGAGGATAACACTCTAAAATAAACATAAAACACAGAAGATTCATAGCTCGTGACAGCAGGACATAGCTGCTCTTGTAAATCTGCATTAGACCTTCAAGACTCTATCTGAGCAGGATTCTCTCTAAGTATAGTAACGAGGGTAAGAGAGTATTCTGCCAGAGAAGAATAAGTTATAGTTCAATATCATCCCTTTCAAACACACTGTTCAGAAAAAAATAGGCTGATTTCACAATCTGAAATTTAGTCAACTATCTGGGAAAAAAAAAAATAACAACCCATAACACTTCAGTTAGAGAAAACGTGGAAGAAAGAAATTATTTGTTCCATCACAAGTAGCAGAAAATATGAAATTATAGCCTGAAGAGAGAGCCTTCAGAAATAACACTGAATCAACTCCAAATGTCACAGGTAGAAAATTAGCAATAAATGCAAGATATTTACCAAAATTATATGCTTCTGAGATGTAAAATATCCTACATAAGCTATCCAAAATTTAACTATATTATTTCATGAAAATGCTGCAGAGAGGGAGCAATTAGCAGTAAGTATAATACAGATATACCTTTCTACAACCAATTAAGTTTGAATATACTGTTCTGTGGACTGTTAGCTCACTATGGTCCCTTTGCAGAGCTTTCAGTGTAAAGAGATATAAAGTGAGTATTACCGTAACTGAGAACAAGCATCATGCACCTAAACAGCTTCAGAACGAAAAATAATAGTCAGTTAAATTGTTCTGATGAAAGCAGTCTTTACATACTGAATGTATTTAATTGAGGCTTTGTTATTGCTGTTCCAAATCAAGAGGCTGTGTGATCTGAGACTGGTTAGACCTGAGAAAGCAAGGCTCAGGGGTATCTTACCAATGTGTGCAAATATCTGATGGAAGAGAGTAAAGACGACTGAGCCAGGATCTGCTCAATGCAGCCCACTGACAGGACAAGAGGCAACAGGGACAAACTTCTCACCAAAATTTGAATAATCAAACTGATGGTATTTCAGACTTAATTAACTTCCATATTCAGGCAACAAATTTTCATACCTTTTTTTTTTTTTTTTTTTGGTGGTGGTAAGAAACAGTGTATTCACAATAGAAACCAGAAACCCCAGAGAAAGACAGTTCATTGCCCTATTTCTGCAGATAGTGAGATAAGTGTACTGACTGTGAAAAATAATGCATACTGGGGGATTAACAGAAAAAGTTCTATGAAATTCTCTATAGAACAATGTAGTTTACTAAAACATATTTTAAAAAAGTGTAGAAATCCTGCTCCAAAAAAGCTTTTCTGGTGTACCATGTAACGTATTAGAGTTGTGTTTTCATCATACTTATATCCCACTGTTCACAAAAGAGAGAAAATGCAAAAGAAGACAATTTCCTCCCTTCGATCACAGCCCATCCTCAGACATTATCAACTTCTATTTCAGCAGAAAAAGGGGGAAAAAAATCAAGTGCGGATAATCTGAGGAAATATCTAGGCCATGCATTCTAGTGAAACATGTTAAGATCACTCATATCTCATTATTATGAAGTTTGCAGGAAATCTGAGCAAATGTCCAAATCAGAAGTGTCATTTAATGACTGCTTAATGTACACACCATGACTACAATGATTTAGGGAGCAGATAAAACACTTGAACCTCTCTCTCCACAGCTCTTTGCCATCGCAAACCATACCAGTCGAGACACAAATAGCAAGAGACTGGAAAGACAATATATGGCATAATTTGATTTCTCATGTAGATATTAATGATATAATGTAGCACAAAAATAGTCCTTATTTCTACTTTGTTACCTCATGCACTTGCAATAGGGAGAGGAGAAATAGGCAATGTAGCAAAATTAACACTTTAATTCTTAAGACATTCAGTATCATACAATATCAAATTATTATGTGCTGATTTGATGAGCCTGTGCCATCTGTCCTAAAATCGATTGACTGTGTATGATACAGTAGCAGAGAGAATGCTATCAGGATGTGTATTCTTCAACAGTAACTCAAAATTGCTACTATGAGGCAAGCACCACCCTCTGGTGCATAAAGGAGCATTCCTCACTACACCAAAAGGCTAAAGCAGATTTGCAATAGACACAATTGAAGAGACTGAGGGAAAGAGCATGCGATAAAAGATTCTGCTGGAACATGGGGATCATTACAGAAGACAAATGAGTTGCCCCAGTGCCTGCAGTCTACAATGTGTAGCAATATCTGGAAAGAGATACAAAAATGAAAAAACAAACAAACAAAAAACAACAACAAAAAAAACCAACCCAAACAGAGAAATCTTCTATTCTTCCATTGACTGTGTTCAAACACCTGTATCATTTGACTAATGTAAGCTTTTAATACAGGCTTCACAGAAGATTCAATTATAACATTAATCACAAAAAAGTATTTTTCTCCTGAACACAGTATATTAGTTCATTACATTGAAAAATGTTCAGAAGGTTTTGTATTGAAAAAAACTTCAAAGCAAATAACATAGCTTCATCTCTAATTTTATTTTTCATCTTACTCCTTATCATTCTATAATAAATTACATACATCCTCTCATGTTTATTACTAATTTCTCCTAAATACAGTTTTTTTATTAACAGTATAAATAAGAAGTTATAAGTTTTTATAAAAAAGATTTTTTGCTTAAGTAGGGAAAACTAATTTGAAAAACAGTTGGTGGCACTTACTTTAGAAAATCCATAGCAGCTTCATCAATACCTATTACACGAAGGGTCAGAATTGGATTCTGCTTGATGCTTTTTGGAAGATTATGATCAACACTTTGGAAAGTTAGGTTAGCTCCCTGTTGAAAAGTGTACAATTATTTACAAATAGGTCACATAATTTGTAAAATACAACTACTTTCAAGAAGTATGACTATTAACATTTAGGTATGTAATGACAAAAAAAGTGTAGCTAATGTCAGTTAACCTTCTAAACAGCTTTTCTAGTAGTAAATAAAAATAGCTGCACGCTTCAAAATGAAATATTATCCTCTATGTAGAAGTTTGTCTAGGAAGAGGGCCGCTTGCGCCTCAAGTCACAGTTTAGGAATGAAGGACTACAGATTGTTGTTTCCTCAGCCTGGCTCTACTTTTCTTTTTCTCTTCTCTCTTGATCCTTTAAGATCACCTAGTTCTAATCCTCTGCTGTAGGTAGGGACACCTGCCTCTAGACCAGGTTGCTCACAGCCCCATCCAGCTTGGCCTTGAATGCTTCCAAGGAGGGGCACCCACAACCTCTCTGGGCAACCTGTTCCAGTGTCTCACCACCCTCACAGTAAATAATTTCTTCTTGATATCTAGTCTAAATCTACCCTCTTCCAGCTTAAAACAATTTCCCCTCGTTCTGTCGCTTCCTGCCCTTCTAAGAAGTCCCTCTTCAGCATTCTGTAGGCTCCCTTTAGGTTCTGGAAGGTCACTATAAGGTCTCCTCATAGCCTTCTCTTCTCCAGGCTGAAAAGCACAAGCTCTCTCAGCCTGTCTTCATAGAGGAGGTGCTCCAGCCCTCTGATTATCTTCATGGCCCTCCTCTGGACCTGCTTCAATGTCTCCACATCCTTCTTGTACTGGGGACTACAGACCTGGACTCCAGGTGGAGTCTCACAAGAGCAGAGAGTAGGGGGGCAGAAATCTCCACCCCCGACCTGCTGGTCACACTTCTCTTGATGCAACCTAGGATACAGTTGCCCAGATACTTCTGGGCTGCAAGCGCACACTGCTGGCTCATGTTGAATCTTTCATCAGTCAGCACTCCCAAATCCTTTTCCCCTGGGCTGCTCTCAAGCTATTCTTCACCCAACCTGTATCCGTGCTTGAGACTGCCCCAACCCAGATGCAGGACACTGCACTTAGCCTTGTTGAACTTCATGAGGTTGGCACAGGCCCATCTCTCAAGCATGTCCAGGTCCCACTGGATAGCATCCCCTCACTCCAGCATGTCAACCGCACCACTCAGCTTGGTATCAACTGTAAACTTGCTGAGGGTGCCCTCAATCCCACTGTCTACATCATCTACAAAGATGTTAAATAACACTGGTCCCAAGACTGCTCCCTGAGGAATGCCACTCATCACTGAACTTCACTTGGGCATTGAGCCCTCAACTGCAACTCTCCGAGTGCGACCATCCAGCCAATTAATTCCTTATCCAATGACTGGTCCATCCATCAAATCCCTTTTTCTCCAATTTGGTGACCAGGATGTCATGTGGGACAGTGTCAAACACTTTGCACAAGTCCAGGTATGTGACATAAGTTGCTGTTCCTTTATCCACTGATGCTGTAACTCCAATATAAAAAGCCACCATATTTGTCAGGCATGATTTACCCTTGATGAAGCCATGTTGGTTACCACCAACCACCTCATCTTTATTTTTCCATGTGCCTTCAGGAGGGTCTGCTCCATGATCTTTCCAGGCACAGAGGCGAGACTGACTGGCCTGTAGTTCCCCAGATCTTCTTTTTTTCCCTTCTTGAAAATGGCTGTTATGTTTTCCTTTTTCCAAACAGTGGCAACTTCACCAGACTTCCATGACCTTTCAAATATCATGAATAGCAGCCTGGCAACTTCATCCACCAGTTCCTTAAGAACCCATGGATGGATCTCATCAGGTCCCATGAACTTATGCACTTTCAAGTTCTTTAGATGGTCTTGATCCTCATAATCACTTACAGCAGGCAGATTACTTTCTCCAAGTTCTTACCATTGCTATCATCAGCTTAGGTGGTGTGGCTAGAGCCCTTACCAGTGAAGACTGAGGCAAAGAAGTCATTGAGCACCTCAGTTTTCTCCTTATCCCTCATGACCAAGTTTCCATTTTCCTTCCAGAGAGGGCCTGGATTCTTCCTGACTGTTTCAATACGTCACTCAAATACATTGTTTTCTCTAAATTTAAGTTTTTTCAGGGGGATGCAGACAAAACATGCCGTATTTGAAAAATTATGCTAGTGTTTATGAGTCAGGAACCCTTAACCCAGTGTGATTCATAATCATTAATCAGGTTAGCTGGCGGATGAAGTCGCAAATGCTCAAATAAGTATAAATTTGATTAGACATGCAACTTATTCAAATGATGTTTCAATCACTTTCTGCAAGAAAAAAGTAACAAAAGCTCTCTTTAAACAGCTGGTGGTCAATATTTTCAAACTTCTGGGTTAAAACCAATTAACGTACAATTCCCTCGTGCTTAAAAATATTTAGACATTGACTCTTGTCAAAAATTCCAGCAAAGCTTGTAAAGATGATTACTTTTTTAAAGAGTGCTTTGGTCTTCTATTTCATCTTCAAGACTCCGTGAATCACGTTTTTTCTACAGATAGGTCTACACTATCTGCAGTCTTCTGCCCTCTAGTGGGAATACTACAAACTGAAGTCAAAAGAGGAATCTCTAAAACATGAAGAGTAATTCAGACTCCTGAAAAATGTGTAAATTGAAAATGCTACTGAAAGGAAGACCCCAAATGATATACCACAATTTAAAATTTGAATATTGAAATATTAGTTCAAATTCGCCAACATCATTGCCTTGAGTTCAACAGAAAAACACTTACGATGTAGAAATCACTGAGATCATAAGCTTCTCCCTTCTTTTGTCCTCGCTGATGTTGATAAACTCCCTTCTGAATGAAAGGCAAGGCATTTGTTCTGTGAAATAATTCAGAAACAACCTGAAAACAATTATGTTTTGTTAAGTTTCCTAAGTAAAGTTAAAGACATTTTCTAAAACCTTTTGAAAAGAAACTTAACCTACCTATTTTTTCCAAACTGTCGGAATTCATATACAGTAAGGGATTTGTCACATGTAAAAAAGAATCCAATCAAGTCTCTACAAGCATCACGACCATTTCTGGAAGGAAAATTGAAAAGAATATTTACATTGTTACATACATACATGTTTAAATCAACCCAAACACAAATAGTACTTCTATTTTGAAGCACCCACTTTGTGTCTACTCTTCCATATTGCACAATGTTTTTTCCTCTTAAAAGCTATCTACTTTCTCCAAACCACTGTAGAATTCCTCTTCTGGATTTGTGAATAAATCTACATGGAATATTCTGTTCTCCATCATGTTAAGAAAGTCTATCAAATTTTCATGCTTTAGTAGACCAATGTAATTTTCATTCATTAACTAAAGGATTACCTAAACCTGGACTACCTGTAGTTATTATGGTATATGAAGCTATTCTGCTGAATCCTTGCCTGTATATACAGTTCACTGCTTCAGTGCAGAAGAACATGTTTATGCCATCACTACTCAATTCAGATCAGTTTCAAAGCTGCCTTAAACCTACAAGGTTTAGTACACAAGAATCCACAAACAAAACACAAACCCATCCCTTCCATTCACAGTGGTTGCCACATACCATGAGACAAGACCATACAATTTTTCATTTACCTATTTGCAGTGGTTGTCCTGCACAGACACCTCACTGTCCTATGACAGACATGATGGTAACATAGCATGACTTATGCATCTTAATGCTGCACAATGGCACTATGAGCCAGGTCAAATTTTGTACTGTAAGTGCACACGTGTATATATATATATTTATATATATACACACACATATATTCACCTACACTGCATATTCATTTTTTTTCCTATAGATACAACAGAGGAAGTTCATTATAATTAATTATTTCAGAAGAGTTACAATCATTATTCACATATTCACAGAATCGAAAAGCTTCCAAAAAAACTGTAATTACCTGGATATAATCCTACTATCAAAGCGTAGCTTGTTAGAGAGCATGTTTTCAGTTAATCCTGATTTCGTCCTTATTCTGTAAAAACAATGCTGCATGTTAGTGATAGCTATGTGGTCACAAGAGAATGTTATATGAAATTCAGCTGTTCCAAAACAGCAAAAAAAAAAAAAAAAAAGTGAAAAAGGGTATCCGTGGCAACTGGCTGAAGAGGTGATCCTTGGAGTTGAAGTAGGAAGCAACTCAGAGTTGCAGTGTGGAAGGCACTCTGTAATTACATCATATGAGAGTACATCTACAGAAAGCACAGACGTGAATGGGATATTTTGTTTATGAACACTTGTCAAGAATTAAAATTCTACCACCCATCATGTTTGCCTGCACGTTGAAAAAGATTAGCAGAATAAAACCAGGAAATGCAGATCCACATTTCAACATGAAATGCTGAAAAGCAAAATGTTTTCTCAATTTTTCTTAAGCCACTGGAATTATGATTTCAATACTTGCAGGCCAGGAATAAAATTTAAATGCCAATACATTTAATTACTGCAAAAGAAATCAAAACATAGAAGAAAAGCATGATTACACTGTGAAGATCTACATTAGTATTTATGGATGTATATTTATGCAATTTCATGCACCTCAGGATGGAAGTCTCTAAAAGGATACGACAGGATCTCAAGCATGCAAAAAAGGCTGGCAAAACTCTGGGAGGAACAATATCAATATAAGATTAAGTTGGTTCTCCCATGTTTTATAAATACTGTGAATAAACATTTTACACAGAGAATCCACAGATAAGGTCCCACTAGGCAATTATACAGAATGAGGAGTCTAGAAAGAGATGAAGCTGTTGGTTCCAAGCCAGGAATAAAACACCTGAAAGACAAAGAGAGACTCTGCAGATCCCAAAATAACAACAAAAAAGAGAATATTTCTAAACAAATGACCACTAGAGAAAACTTACTTTGTTTCATGCAGTGTTCTTTTTCTAAAACGCATGGGTGCAGTCCCAAGACCCAAATGTCCACGAGCTTCCTTGGAAACATCACCTCGTGTGGATTGTTCTGGATCACTTATGACAGCTCTGATGAAAAAGAGCAGGGATAAGCCTTCTAACTTGTATCAAGTGGGCACTTCAGACTTTTATGTTCTTACTTTGAAAAATAGAAACCTCACAATAATGCAACAATAGCACATGGAATTTAGCTATTATAGCTGAAAAAATTTGGGGAGAAGGGTGTTCATTTTTATTTGGTTGGTGGCTGTTCTTTTGTTGGGATTTGGAGGGTTTGGGGTTTTTTTTCTGTTTTTAAAATTCTGAAATCTATTATTCTAAATTAAGTATACAAAACAACAATCTGGTAGTGAACAAGTATACTTTGCATGGACGTGTTTATTACTTTATTTCCTTAGAATTATGGAGATTTTTTATTCTCCCCTTCCTCATTTCAGTAAACATTCATCTTCAATTTTCTTTATCCCTGGATCCCTCCACAATCAGTGATGGGAGTTACCAGTACTGGCTAGCAGCATCACTCAACAAAAACGCAGGCACCTCCACTGCCAAGGCACTCACCCAATCTACAGGAACTCAAAGTCCCATCTCACAGATAACAAGTTAACTGGATTCTGAATATTTTTATATTCTCTGTAGTTGTTTAACAAGTAAACAAGAGAAAAAAACCCTTAAAAATACTCAGAAGGAAAAATAATTTTGTACTGATACAACTTATGTTTATAGAGTTCTCTTTGATCCACAGTGAGCCATCCATACTGAGTGTGTATTAGTTACAAGGATTTTACTGCAAGATTGGCTGTATTAAAACAAATCAAAATACCTTTTGCACTTTTGTTAATAGATTTGCTGTGCAATAGTTTTGAACTAATCTTCCTCGATTAACATTTTGCTCTCTGACACTATTTTGGCAGTTCTGGCATGGTTATATATGGAAGGTAAATAGAGAGATTTCTTAAACAGAAAGTTCATCCTGATGCAACTGCAGCACTACTGAATATTGTTCTGACATTTGCCAACAGAAGGGTTTACAGCAGGAGCTACTTATGTAAAATTTTTAGCAAGCATAAAGTAATATGAAATCGAAATTACGTTACACCAGTTTATACCATCTCATAGTACCACGACCAGACAGCTTAGGTAAAACTCTGAAATATTAAAGCATACATAGAAACGAGAACAAATTTATAGGAACAATAGTAAGATGTCTTAATTACACTCATCTTCACAGGTAAGTTACTTTTTTTTCCCCTTAATCTATGATGAAATCGTTCTATATAGAACCAATGACTTCTCAGAGCTGAAGGAGAGCAATGAAGTTCGGAGAGCTTCCTTGTACAACCTCAATCAGTTAACTTCATTTGCTCCCTTATTTCCTGCACGCTTAACACTGGTATAATACTCCTTCATAGAATCGCTCAGGTTAGAAAAGACCTTAAAGATCATTGAATCCAACCACAACCCAACCATACCACCCTAACTAACAACCCTCCACTAAATCATGTCCCTGAGCACCACATCCAAACGGTTTTTAAACACATCCAGGGATGGCGACTCAACCACCTCCCTGGGCAACCTATGCCAGTGCTTAACAACCCTTTCTGTAAAGAAGTGTCTCCTGGCATCCAACCTAAACTTAGCCTTCAACTTCAGAGAGATATTAAAAAAAAAACATTAATAAAGGTAACAGACTTAGGATAGAAAATAAAAAATAATTGTAACGACAGGAATCCATATATTTTGCAGAGGTACAAGAGGGTTATTTATGTACTGTTATTGTGAAATCCTTAAAGCTTCCGGTATAAAATTAACAATTTTTCTCAGAGAAAAAGGAACTTAAAGCACTTGAAATTGATTTTTTTAATTACGGAGTCTTTTAAATGAAAAACAATTTCCATTTAAAGGGATTTTACAAATAGTAGTACTACATAATACGAGCTACAATGAGATGATCAAAACACGTAGGCAAGAGAAGCCACTCCTGAACCTAAATTCTTCAGTAAGGAAAGCCGTAGTTTTACATTAAAAATCCACTTACCTGCATAACTGATCTAGCATCACTTGTTCTACCACAGCCTGTTTCTTTCTCTCTGCAGCAACATCCTCCTATAATGGAAAAGTAACCAAATGCAAAGGGAATATAACAACAAGCAGTTCAAAAAATAAATTAGCTTTTAAGACAGCATTCAGATGTCTTAATCCTATTAATGTTACAATTCATTTGGAATTTTGAAGGTTTTTTCCATCTTTTTGAATCAAATCCTATTTGTGTAACTAAAAGACAAATAATGTTCTCTGCTACACACAGATCTACATTCAGAGAGAGGGATTCCACCTCCAGCAATGTTTAGCTAAAAACTCTTCAAAGATATAGTCTCATTCTTCAGTTCATACTTGCGGCATGCCAGAACAATTTTCTGATGGAAAAGGCCAATCTGAATAACTTGTTCTTGTAAAAGAACAAATATTCGGAGGAGGAAGGTGATTTAGCAGGATCTTACTGCATTTTTAGGATAACACTCAACCACAATCTTGTGCCCTTCACTGTAAAGTGTTTGATTATCAATCATTATTCATTTCACAGCAAGAGAAACCAAAGGCACATGAGGATGCCTATGGTCAGCATGGAGGCCACTGGCAACAATTAGGCTCTACTATCTTGCTTCATTTCACATTCCAGATCTCTGAACTTCTTTGCTACACTGATATTTGTTTTCAATCCTCCCATTTTACCTATGAGAAAAGAGAGATTATCCTTTCTAGGAGCTTAGGCAACCTCTTCAATGATTTATAATGTGTTCTGAAGCTGAAGATTTATGATATTTTTATGCTTACTGTAATTCATATTAGATAAGGTAATTCTCATTCCAAACCTCAAGAAAATTTAAGAGACGATCTATTTTAGCATTAAAAGTTTTAGTAATGATCATAGTAAACAAAACTTTTAAAAGTACTTTGTATTCTTAAGCAAATTTTTAAATGTAGTTTAAAAATCAAATGCCTACAATGGAGGCAACACATATCCAATTTAATTATTACATAAGCAGTTGTTACTTCTAATTTTTTCTATTATTACCACTTCTATCAGAATCTTGAATATGAGAGAACCTAAGAGATGCTCCTAGAAAGAGATAGGCAGCCTGTGTAACCATGAGTGCTAATCAGTAACAAAAGAGCTTCAGAGAGTCCCTCAGAAACCTGCTGGCTTCCTTTTAAAGCATGCCAGCTGCAGTGTACCTGCCATTTGGCTGTTCTGCACTGCTCCTTTTATCAGTCTCTTCAGCTTATTTGATTTAGCAGTAGTTAATCTGAAAGTACGTCAAACTTCCCCTCCTGCCCATTATACCAACTGTATTGTATAGATTTTTAGATTTATTTTAGAAATAATGAACAGGAAAGTCTTCGTCAGAGTACTTTCTAAAGAGATTTTCTGATCATGAAAATGAATGGTGACCTCAATAGCACAATATTCACATTCATTTTAGCAAGACCAGAAATCAAACATATGTTTGCAATGACATGAACTTCAGTGCTTAGTAATGAACAAACAATTTTTCATTTATTTTATTTACTTTCATAGTCTCATACAATTATCATGGCTTATTCCATCAGGATGTTAGAATGCTAATTCTGTTCAATAATACCTTCAAAATGAAGTTCTGAAGGCCATCACTCTGCACGTGAAAATACTGAATCAAGCAGTACCTAAAATTTTAAGATTCTTCACCACTTCAAATGACCCCAAATTTAAAATTTAGCCTTACATGGACAATAGTCCTGTTGAACAGTCCTAAAAAGAGTAAGAATTGTGTCTACGTAAGAAATAAAAGAAACATACTGAGTACGTCAACATAAGAGAAGTTAGTATTTCCTCTTGTAACAGCAAAGCTGCATCTGTTTCCAGTTTGGGGGGCTGCCTTCACCACAAAATTAATAAGGATGAAAGGAAACTGGAGAGGATCCAACAGAGGATCTGAACAGAAGAAACTGGAAAGAGAAACTAAGGGAGTCTGGTTTTGTTTAGACTGCAAAGGAAGCAGGTATGGGGTGTTCTAAAAGCATCCTACAACCAAAGGGCAAAGACGACAGCCAAACTTTTTTTTTTTTCCTTCAGATAGCAGCCAGCCATCAGGAGACCAAAGTTACAAACTGGGCCTTCTGAGGCTTAACAATGGTGATAGGAAGAAGTACTTCACAAAGGGAATAGTGAAGCAGCACAGAAACACTGTTGCTGATAAACGCTGTAGAATTCAATCCACCCTTGGAGCTTGGAGACATCCAAAGCCAGCTAATCTAATGCCAACAGCAGAGTCCATACTGCTTACGAGGAGGGTTATCAATCACATACTCCATTCCAACAGTTAATGAGGAAAATAAGACCATTTACTCTGGAAACGAGTCAGAGTAAAAGCTGACAGAATCATGAAATCCATGCACCACAGAATACAGGCTCATGTACAGGCTAGAGACTAGAAAACGTAGAACCGTACAGTCAGATTCACACAAGTCACTCAGCTGGTCTTTTTAGTTGTACTTACTGGCTTTTAACACGCGTTCTCACTTATTCACATTACAGCTTAAAAAAGAACAAGCATTGCACATGAGATTTTAAAATTGCTCACTGGATTACTCAACTTAGCTCCTGTCAAAACAAATGCTTAAACTCCTGTGATGACAATTAGAGACTAGGACCAAATCAAGAGCCTAACTTCTACTGAACACCTTCAAGTCATTCTACAAGTACAGAGACAGCTAACAGTCCAACAGCCAAAACACTTACAGCTTCTGATTTCCTCATACTGTGTTGCACATTGTAGGGCTTGCTTGTGTAGCATTGTTGCAGGAGAGCTTTCTCATCAAGAGCTGTAAGACCATCATTGTGCCCATCTTCAAACTGTGAACCCTAAGCAAAAATAAATTATTTTCAGAAATCAAATTCTTAACATCTAAACAAATTCCTTAATTTATTAAAAAGCATTTTTGGGAAGTTTCTTTATCCGACTTTTATGATAATTAAAAAGGCAAAGAAATTGTAAGCCTAGCTTTCTATTAAAACAGAACCTACAGATTTTGCTCACTAGTATTGCCTTCCAACTTCTCAATGCTTACCAACTTCCAATCATACTGAAACAAGAAAATAACAACAAAATAAAATCTCAAAAAATGTCATGGTTCTACAAACTTTGCTGAAAACCAGCAGCAAGTCAGGGAGAAAGTGGACTGTGAGTACCTCTCTGAAGAAGACAAGAGCTCTCCCTGTTCTGTTTAAGAACACTGAAGATAAAGCAAAAGATTTGCCATCAGGTGTATAAGATCTCAGTCACAGAGGTGCTGCTTTTTGATCAGCAAAGAAGTTAAAATACTGCCTGGATAGGAGAAAGAACTGAAGAGTGTGGGTGAACTGGCTCTAAGAGACTTCTAAATCAGCCTGAGTAGATTACAGAAGTATTTCCCACATGGAGGATTACAGACCTTGGAAAAAAGGAAACATGGGAGACAAATCAGTAGGGACAAATTATTATCCACACTACTGTAGGAGCAGCTTCTTTTCAGGGAAGAAAAGTTACAAGTTTCAATAATGGAACAAAATAATATCTTGAAATCCAATGAAGGTTTGATTTATTATTTAATACGATAGTAATAATGTCTAGCGGATTAATTTTCTTAGTTAGATATTATATTGATATCTGCCACAAGAATTGACAGACACAGCTTCTGGTGCTTGGCATTCACCTGTCTTGAACCCAAATGCACTGGAATGGGCCAGTCCTGCCTTTTCTCTGTGTTTAGGCTTGGGCCCAATCCTTCAGTTTCAGACTCACTTGGCCACTCACATAAATACCTTTTTGATGGGCTTGCAGAACAATATATAAAGGATTCACTCCTTGGAAAACAGATGACATCACTGTGTCAGTCTGGTGTGCAGGAGTGGAAACAAAAACAAAAGTAATACTGCAACAAAACACCAGAATGGACCCACCATCAAACATAAAAGCACTTAACAAGACAACAAATTTGTTTTCTTCACTCAGTTTTTACTTGAAGTACCCATAAATAAAGATTCTGTATGTTCTCCAAGTATTATCTGAATATCAGAAGTATGGCTCTAAGGGGAGAAAATCCTTTAAAATTATAAGTAATATATGCAAAAGAGACCTTAGCCCAAGCAATAAAAAAAATCTTTGTTTTCTACAAAACCATCTCTCCTCATGCTACTGAACACCAAGCAAATAAAATAATCTCGTTGTCAATTATGACAAACTTTATATCTGAAAAGCAATAGGCAGCGCTTATTAGCTCAACAACTGTGTATTTAGCCATTAATATTCTGAATATTGTATGTCATTAACACTCTGAAGTGGTCAGAACAGACTAGCTTTGACCAGTCCTCATATAATATGCTCATTTCTGTTTCTTGTTCCTTGCTGGGCACCTTCACTCAAGAACCTGATCTTCCCTTGTTTGCTGCTCAGTTTTACTTTTAAACAATTAAGAAACCTGGTAGATTTAACACAGCTTGCAGTCCAAGCTTTGTAGACTACAAGTGCTGGATCTTACAAAAGGTAAAGACAAAAAGTACAGATATTATTTTCCATTCTTTTAGCTCCATATTTCTGTCCATTTTCAGCACTAATATTTCTTAAAGGCTCAGACCACTTATTTCACCATTTCTTTTCTAAGTCCTTGGTACAAACTTAATTCAACAGAATAATCAGGGGGAGGAAAAAAAAAAAAAAAAGCCTGAATGTATTTCCATATTTGGAAAAAACATTTTACCAAGATCCTTCCTCTGTCACTTATCTTCTTAGGCTCCAGGCTCATCCCCACCAATCACTCTAATCTCAGTGCCCAGGCCAGACATGCGCTATGAGGGCAAACATTATGATAGCAGAGAACAGAAGCGTATTTACAAGGACCACCATCTCTCATTCTACACAGCAGCTGAAGTAAACTTCTTGGAGTCTATTCCCTGCTAAGTGTTAAATGCCAAAAGCATATATGGAAATGTCTTTAAAATTAATACATGGAAGAATATATATATACACACACACAAATGCAAATCTCTTCACACATTGAATGAAATACCAACAAACATTTACCACTTAAAAATGCAATTACTACTTTGCCAGCACCTTTACTGAAGCTTCTGGACATTGGAGGTGGATTTTTTTCTTTTCTGCAGTTCTCTCAGTGTGCTGCTTATACTCTGCCTTCATATCTGCTTCATACTGACGATACTTCAGTTTATATTTGTCTGTAGGGGTTGGCAGATTTTCTGGTAGTGTCTTCTGCTCCACAACAGAACGCAGAATAATCAATACAAACTAGTCTTTCTTTTTACAGAAAGAGTAATCAATATAAATGCCTCTGGTTGGGATCTTAAAAGAGGACAGCATTTTCATAATTCCCATTTGCAATAACTTCTGAAACTATTTGACACTATGCTTCACATTAAGAAAAAAAACAAAGTGCATGACTGCAAATTCACACTGAATTTTCGTAGAGTTCTACGAAATCTGCCTTTTTCTTTTTTAATCAAAGTAGTACACAGCCAAATACATTTATGCAAAGTTAAGATTCATTGGTGCTGTCCTATAAGACATTACAGATTAATTAAACAGGTATTCCGACAACTGATTCTGAAGGGCTGAAACTAGGCTGATGGACTGTTTTCAGTCAAAGATTCCAATAGTAGACGAGTATTAGGAGATCCACTCCCTTCCTGAAAACATCAGCTGAAAAGGCTATGAAGCCAACTAAGTATCTTCCCAACTTTACATTCCTTTCAGCAGTCTGTGCAATGGAGGCTGATGAGTAGAAACAGTTGCAAGATGATAAGCTCAAAACTCCATTCTTTCTTCTCTTCCTGAATAACCAATACCTTCAATGTTTAATTGATATCTCCTCAACGCTAACAAAAATGTCTCAAGATGAGATGTGTCAAGTAGAAATGCTGGATATGGACATCAGTAAACAGTCCTGTTCTAGAAAGTTCTTTTTCAAGAAACTCAGATCTTCAAAACGTTCTTTAAAGGGCAACTTTCTCATTCAAAAGGGGATCCATATGTCTTTACTAGTTAATCCCTGAACGGTAAGACCACATTCAAATTATTATTCCAAAAGTGACCTATTTTGGAAAGATTTACTTACACAGTCTGTTACTGAGGAACCTGGAATATATATTGCTAAAGGAATGCTCAGTCAGGGCCACAGAAGCAAGCAACATAGAAATAAAGGGCACTCGCTGAGAGGAATGTGACCTTAATATTTCAGAACTGCTTGAAAAGTCTTCTCCCCAAAAGTCAGGCAAAATAAACAATAAGAAGAGAAAGAGATGGCTAAAAGAAAGTAAATGAACAGAAGATGCATTACTGTAAATTTAGCACTACAGTATTTAAGACATAACAAAGGCAGAAAGGGAGCAGACAAGATAAAGGAAAGTGGAGAAGATATGAATATGTTCCTTGTATGAACATATTAAAAAAAAAAAAAGTAAACCAAGTGAAACCATAGGCATCCAAAGCTAAGAGGAGTATAGCAACTGAAGTATGTATGCACTGTGATCATAGTGCCATACAAAGGAAAATAGATAATTTGCAGTAAAAATAGAATTGTTTGAGTTGGAAGAGACCTTTAAAGGTCTTCTAGTCCAACTGCCCTGCAATGAACAGGGGCACCTACAGCCAGATGATGGTTGCCCAGGGGCCCCATCCAGCCTGACCATGAGTCTCTGCAGGAATGGAGCTTCCACCACACTTCTGGGCAACCTGTTCCAGTGCTTCACTACTCTTGTCATAAAAACACTTTCCTTATACCCAATTAAATCTCCTGTTTTAGACTGAAACATTTTTCCAGTGTTCCATCGCAAGAGACCCTGATAAGGAGTCTGTCTCCATCTTTCATGTAGGTCCCCTTTAGATACTGAAAAATCACTCCTCCCCTGAGCCTTCTCCTGGCTGAAGAGCCCAGCTCTCTCAGCTATCCTCACAGAGAAGGTGTTCCATCCCTTGGATCATTTTTGTGACCCTCCTCTGGACGCACTCCAACAGGTCCACATCTCTGCTGTGCTGAGGACTCCACATCTGGATGCAGTACGCCAGGTAACGCCTGGCCAGTGCAGAGCAGAGGGGCAGGATCACCTCCCTCAACCTGCTGGTCACATTTCTTTTGATGCAGCCCAGGATATGGTGGCTTTCTGGGCTGTGAGGTCACACTGCAAGCTCATATTAAGCTTCCTATTCACCAGTACCCAGAAGCTCTTCTTGGCAGGGCTGTGCCTTTTCTTTTTCTTTCCCTAGTGCTTACAGGTGCATTTTAAAATGTGTATAAATACTTTTGTTGGATACAGAGATATTCTGAGAACTAAAGCACTCCTAGTCCAGTTATCTCAATTTGTACAATCCATACATATTGCCTAAATTAATGAACATACTCATTAGCTGTGAACTCTAAGAAACAACAAAGGAGTTAGGCTTCAGGCAGCATGCAGAAGCTTAAACAGTAATAAAGAGTAAGCGAGAAGCTGCAGCAAATCAGTGTTATTTATATTCAGAAAACCTCTTCAGAAAAATACTTCTATTTGTTTTTGTGATGGATGTGTTTTACGCTTTTCTATTTTTATTCATAATTTTACCAGTTACTTTCAGTAAGACAGGATGAAGTAAAGAAGTATGAAGAAGGGGATAGAGGGTAGAAAGGAGACTGTGCCTTCTCTGGAGGAAATGACAAGATCAATCAGGAGAGAGACTTCTACAAAGTGTGGAGGACAGGGAGGCACAGCCTGGAGCAGCGTGCTTACAGCCCAGGGGCTACAGCTTATACTGTGAAATTGCAAGGACCAGACAGACAGCATTTGGCAAGGGCAATCAAACCAAAACCCCTCTAGAGACTGGTCTACTGCAATTCAGTGTTTGATTTTACAGCACCCATGAGTACATGCAAGAGACACAACGCGCAGGAATGAAGTTATATACTAACTTTTTAATTCTCTCCTACTCCACAGTGCTCCATATTTTCTCCATTAAAATAAAAAAATAAAAATAAAAATAAAAAAAACCTACTAAATATTTCAGATTTAAATATATTTTATTTCAAGTTGGAAACCACCTGGTCATACAAACAAAATGAAGATACTGGCAGATTCACCTTTGAGTGCCAGCCAATCTGGAGTCCTGCCATACAGGTCAATAAATTAGGAATAGAGATTAATATATGTAAATGTATTCATAATTGTTTTATGTCTGGCAGCGCTAGTGCTCTAGACAGACATAGCCACTCAGTAGTTCTTAGGTTCAAGTTAAATATTTCTGGAATAATAGGTTTTTAAACAGTAGAAAGTACTTCCTAGTTCTTCCAGATAACACTGGCAAGTCAGGGTATTTCCTGCACTCTAACCAAATAAAATTGCACAAATAGAACATTACAGAGTTTATGTTAAGTGCATGACAATGACAGAAAAAATATGTTGGTTTAAAAGCTCCAGATACTTCACCTCTCAAATATTTAGGGATCACTAACAGAGAAGTGTTGTATTAAGCGTCAGCATTTTCTCTCTAATTATCATTTTTGAAACATTTTCAAAATACCCTAGGATGCAGAATGACAAATTAAGAAGACTGTTAAATAAGCTACTTCCTGCAACACAAAAGATGTTGAAACATACTACACTTTCAGACCATCCACTGCTGTGTTTACTACTCAGTTGCTAACTTTGTCAGTGCATATTGCTTAACCTACCTCTCTTTTCATCTGACAAGACATTCTAGAAATCTGTTAAAAAGAGAAATTAAATAGTAATTAGCAAAATCTCAGATGTATGGAATGGTCAAATAAAAAACTGTCACTTATTTTTTCCAAACTTAACTCAGATCAACGTTCAAAGGAAAACTATCTGAGCAATTAACTCTTACATTTATTATACTGGACGCTGACCCTGAACAGTGCTGCAATTTTTAAATCAGAATGTTTTACAGAACCATCTGTACTACTGATATTCCTTATAAAGCATCAAAGATTTGCAGTGATTAAGTTTTAGTCAACCAGAAAATAATGCTGGTAGATGATTGGGAAATTTTAACAATGAAAGTGCTCAGACCAACTGAGCATACTTTCAAAATTAATATCAAACAGTTATATTTTAAAGAGACTGAAAAAAAGTCTGAGAGAAATATCTGTACCTAATTCCAAAAGTTCCCTTTTCAAAAGTAACTGTTCTTCCATAGAAAGAATACTTTACTGTTTGTAAGCTTAGGTTGTTTTTTTTCAGTCATATGCTTAATGATCACTATTGATCTCACCTTTTAACTTCAACAGATCAGAAGGATAGAGTTACATGCTATCTCAATGCTACTCAGTTTCTTTGACAAACTGTTAATAAAGCTAGTTATTAATATATCTCTTGCAAGTTACTAAGAGAAGGATAAATGCATCTACCAATGAAGATGAGCTCAGGCATTAAACAAACATTGGATTTTCAAAATATGCTATAGGCTTCTCAGTAGAAACTCCTTTGACAAAATTACTTTGGACCATTAGCAACTGGATTTGAGAATGTAATCGAAGGAGAAAGAAAAAAAAAAAACAAAAAAACCTGTATGATGATACTAAAATACTGAACTACTTTCTCCAAATTACTACTGAAGGGGCACATTTTAAACAGATTTGTTATGAGAGACTGACCTGTTGAGATGGTAGCTGCTGCCCATGTGGCATTTCTAATGACGTTCTCCAATCCGAAGATGAATTTAGAGAGCCTGTGTGAGGAAAACTTCTACTGCACGGTACGTAAGAGTTCCCATCCTAAAACAAGAAAGGACAAGTGATCGGGTTGTTTGTTTTTAATATTCAGAAACGTATTTGGTAAGTTCTTGCAACACGTGAATTCTAAAAACTATTCAAGACCAAATTAATTTATAATTACCTCATCATCAGAATCTCCCAGCCTCCCTAGATCTAGGCACGGCACCCTGCAGGAAGTTAAAATGATTTTAGGAACAATGCGTTTCTTATTTTTCCAGTTACATTAAAAACAAACTCCAATAGTTACTTCTATTAGTACCTACACAAAAGTTTCCTTACAACCAGAAACAGCCTACTTAGGAAACGTTTATTAGCCCCTCAGGAGCCAGACAATTAGTTTTTCCTCCTTCACACCAGCAACCACAAAAGGCCCCTGCAAGGTTCTCCTTCCTTCCCAGCCTCAGACAGCCCCAGCAAAGCAACAGATCATAAATCAAGAATTCTTATTTCCATTTTCCACAGCAGGTCTGTGGAAACATCCCTCTACAACCAGTCACCAGAGAGCCCACAGGGAAGCAATAATTCCTCAGGATGCAAGCATTCTCAATTATCTGAACTAGACTAAACAGTGGAACCTAACTACATAGTGGGAGCAAATTATACTTCAGTGTGTATACACACACACACACACACACACACACACACACACACACACACACACACACTTCTGCTTAAAGAAATGAAAATATCACAGATTTATTTAAGAATTTCTGTGTCTTACATCTTTACCTCAGTTACCCTCGGGGGGGACTGAATTTTACTGCCAGTATTTCCAAACAACCCTATTATAACATGATTGCTTCTACAAATAATAGAGCTCATTAATTTCCAGTTGTTTTTCATTACAAACTGACTGATAGTACACAAAAAGTTGAAGTTCTTTGATGCAGATATGAACAACAAGGCCATAATGACACACAGCTGGAAAATAACATAGAAAGATACAGTGGCTGTAAGGCACTTCACTAATGTAAATAATGCATTGAACATTTTTGCTTTTAACATGTCACAGAAAACAGCCTTAAGATGATAAATTTCATGCAATGCTGATTTACTTATCAATAGAAATGCAAGTGTATGGTGTAAATTATTAAAGAAATCAGATGAAATCTGATTCAGAAAAACATGAGCAGACTTACTCTGGGGGGCGAGGACCCCGAGCAGCACGTGTATCTGGTCTCCAACCCTAGAAGGACACATTATTAATGCTGACAGAGGTCAGGAGGTAAACACACAGTTGTCTCTTTCAGCCTGCCTTTGTTTAGAACCAATGTCTCCAGATATCTGATGTATGTATTTGACTGAGATAGCACTAAGAAAAGGACAAAACAAAAGCTTTTCACCAAAAGTTGATTCTTACAGATCTTGAAACAAGAATATTCAGTATTTGTCAATACAGAAAGTTTTCTTGACATTAAGAATACAGACAACATCCACACCGGCTATTAATACATTAAAAATAATCCATGTTTCTGAGATTTTGTTCATACAACAACTGCTCACCAGGTTTAAGGTCACATGGATGATGGCATGGAATGTTTCTGAGCCAGCCCTCAGCCAGCCCATAAACTGAAACCACAGCACAGACGGACAGCTGGCTTACATCGAGCCAGGAGCAATTCCTCCAGCTGGCCTTCCAGTTGGGAAAAAAAAAAATATGTGGCTCACAGATGTTCTGCAGCACCTTGTTTTTTAAAAGACCTTAACATATACATGTCAGCACTGCACCCTGAACTGTGCAAGCATCCTGCTTCCAGCTGTGGCCTAATGCACGCATGATTTGAAAGCCATCACAGAACTGTTAATTGCTTTCCTCCCCACACACCCTGGCAGCATACCCCTGGAAAAGAGAGTTCAAAACTTAGCACCACCAGCCTCTGGTGTCTTCAGAAAAGGGTATTTAGGTTCGGGAGGGGACGGGAAGGGAAGAAATAAAAAAAAAGACAAAAAAAAAAGACAAAAAAAAAAAGAAAATCTGTCTCAGAGCAGCCGCACATAACGAACACCACCACCTTGTGGTGAAATATGTGAAAAGTCTTTAAGGGACAAAAAACGCAGTCTTACTCCTCAAACTAACCAAAGTAAACGAACTCTAGTCTTCTTGGAATAACAGTGTGCTGTCTCATGTATTTTTGCAGTGCATTAAACCACAAGTTTTTCTGCAGCATTTCAACTGCCTTTAAGAAAAAAGAACACAACATGTTTAATGCCTTTTCTGAGAGTCATCAAATCAGAATAAAGCAAAGTTGTCCTGAAGACTACCCACATTTATTAGGACACAGTCTCAACCGCATTTCAATCTACAGTTTTTCAAGCCACAAAAAGTCATGTAATAAGGAGTCTAAATTTGGAAACTGACAGGCATAAAGGATGTTTCTTTTACAACCCAGAATAAATACCCAAGTTTTTTCAAAAAACATGGAAGGTAAATGGGTGCATGCGGGCTAAGGGAACACTGCAGATGAAGTTTACTTCACTGCATACTTTATGCTCATATCTGTGAGAAAAATCAACCGTTACAAAAAATATTTACTTTACCTGTAATAAAACCAATGGCTCTCATAATCCAAGATCGTATTTACTCTAGTCAGCCTTTCAAAAATTAACCTGGAAGTCTACCTACAGTAATCCTGTGAGGGCCGTCTACCTATCTGAACTCATAAGGTCAGCCACTACCTGAAAAATAACATCACTTGTCATGACGAATGCTAAGCACTGGGATTTATTTCACACAAAGGCAGTGTGGCATCACTCCTTCTGAGATTATGTTTTGAAGGCTGTTGGACTTCATTGCTCTTTTGGAAAACGAAACACTGTCACTGGTTTCACCAGGAGTCTGAAACAGCACAGAGCACAGGTTGAGTCCTTGCTGCAAACATTTGCTCTTACATTCCCCAGGCTCCAGGTAGTACTCAGCATGTCGGTGTGCTTCTTTCTGCAATCCTTCTCTTCATTTGAGAAACAGTTGTATGGAATTATCACTAAACTATCACCTTTATCAGAATTAACTTCTTTATAAGCTTTCTTCTCCACCAAAGGCACTGAAGCCCTGAACTCTAAACCTTAGTGTATGGTTAAAATTCTGTAAAAAAAACCTCAGCGTAGGGACAGAAAACAACCACACGCGCTCTGTTAACATACCTGACATTTCTTCTCTCTCGACAACAGCTGAGTCTGCCTTCGAGGGGATGCAGCAATTCCTCTCACTTCCAAATCCATACAAACTCAGTGACAGCCTTCAGAACAAACTGAAAAACACAGCTCACATTTCATCCGTCTGCCCTCCCTGCCGGGCTGTTTTTCCCTTCCATCTAGCGAGTTTAAACCCAAAGCCCATTGCGTGTTATCCCAGACAACAGACGCTCTCTCTTTAGACCGCCATCCACGACGGCTGACCCCGCTTCTACCTTCCGGACCCCCCCCCCCCTTCACCAGGCGGGAAGCGCACCGCGCTGTGTGCGCAGCCGGCCGCGCGGGACTCGCTGAGGCGGCCTCCCATACTCACCTTTCTCGAGGCGTTCGACACAAATCGGCACAAACTACCCGGCACGGCCCCGGCCCTCCCAACGAAGCCTCAGGCGGAGCGCAACGCAGCTAACGCCGAGCAAACCAGAGAGGGCCGGAGGAGGGCGGCCGCCGCAAGCGTCCCCTGGTAACGGCGCCGCGTCCCGCCCGTCACTCCGCCCCAGGCCGTGCAGGGCGCTGTGGAAGCTCAGCAAAGCCCGGGCTGCGGTCAGGCTCCGAAGGAGCAAAATAAGCAGAGACGGCAGCGGTGTGAATGGCTGTAGGCGGAATTGTGTGAGAAGGTAAGAGTCACGGCGCTGTACTTGATTATTTAAAAGCTACGTACTTCTAAAACCAAACATCAACAGCATTCTTCAGGCAAACCGACCTCTGAACTCATTTCTGCAACTGAAGCATTGCAGCATCACAGGCACGTGCATGTAGTGAAGAAAAAAATAAGAAAAAACTAAGGTCTGATAGAAATGATTACGGCAAAGGAGAATAATAATAATAATAAAAGCTTGTGTAAACAATTACCTAGAAAGCCACAATCCAGTTGGCACAATACATAAGAAACAACCGAGCCTACAGCTCTGGAGTGAGAAGCACTAGCACATCTGGTAATGCTAACTTAAAATAACAGCACGGTACAATGAATCAGGCCAGGTTCAATAGTCTTAATGTGAAGCAAGGACACAAGTATTAAGGGGTAAGTCGGTGATTGCACAGCTGCCAGGTTTAACCAGGAACAGCTGTGGGGGAAAAAAATGAAGTTACCCAGTGTAATGCATTAAGGTTTACATTGACATTGACATTAAAACTATACACCATTCCTGACAAGACAACAAGTGAAAATTATTTCAACAGTGTTTGTGGCTAAATTTCTCTCCCAATCAAGAAATTTCTCCATTAACACATCTCTAACACATCTACCCATAACTGTTTTTTATTTCCCCTCTCTCCAAAGACTTCCACAAAGAGCTAAATTCATCACTCATGCTCTTTAATGAACTCAAGGAATCACACTTCAAGTGGTACTGTGCTTACTAGTTACAAAACATGAAGCACCTATTATTTTTAGTCTAAATTACAAGATATTCCAATATTTCAGTGAAGCATAAGATTACAGTGTATTATATACAGAGTACAGAAATATCTTTATAGGAAAAAATAAATAGATAAAATATGTAAACATCTCCAGGAAAACTCTGCTGCCATTGAAATCAATTGCAGAACGATCAGATACAAGCAGTTTTAATCCCTCTTTTTAAAGCATACAGCAGTGCACATAACTTCATAACTTCATTCAAAACAGTTTAAAGTGCATACAACATTGTGAAAAAAAATTCATAAGCTTTTTAAGTTTTACACATGCAGATTTCATTCATATTTATTACGTCTCCTCAATCCCATCTCTGATTCTATTAAATCCTTGTTTATCATTTCTTGGTCTTCTACTACATCTGTTTCAAACCGATGTACTTCACATTCATCACGTAATTCATGCTCCTCTATTCTGTAATCATCATCAGCATCTTCATGCAAATCTTCATTACCTTCATCTTCTCCGTCATTCATTTCTTTCTCTGGAGAATGTTCAGAAAATGACTGAAGGAGATCTTCAAGTTTCTCATTACAAACGTGGCTGACATCTTACAATTTACAAAAAAAAAAAAGTTAAATTACTGGACAGGTTCCAAGTTTAGAGGCAGTTCAGAAGAAGAATATTTATTTCTTTTTTCTCTCTTTTAATAAAATTCAACTAATGGAGAAATTGCCAAACTTCTAATCAACTGTTCCTAACATTTAAAATTTCTCTTGGACTACTGTTCACCTTTTGGAAGATTCCAGAGGAAACTAACATACAATCTGCTGTTCAGTGTAACTGTGCAGTATTGCCCACAACCTCTCAGGTCCACACGTGGGTATCCTCAGACTAAAATTAGATCAATACTAATAGGTTGCTCAAGGACTTTCATTCAAGAAGCTAGTTTCTTGAAAGCGTAGCATGTCAGTTCAATGTATTTTAGCAATATTCTTTAAAAAAAACTACAATGTATCAAAAAACTTGATAATAGATTCCACTCAAACAGGAAGAATAGTACAACTGCAGAATAAAATTAATTCTACACTCATTTCACCTAAGATGCAGGAGCTGAACATTGTCATCACAGAAAGATGTTGACTGTTTAAAATGTAAATTAATTACATAACTATCCCACTGAAAACTGGAAGTACCTGTCATCTTGTTTTCTGATTTATCCAATCCACTTTCTTTCATCAGTCGTCTAATTGATTGGATCTGTGTCATTATTTCATCTTTCTGCTCACAAGCTAAAGCATTAACGCTAGAAAAGAGACATTATCAACAGCTGAAACATCACCTCAGAAATGACTACTTGGTAACAACGCATGCGATAGCAGTATTTCTTTCTGTACATAAATACGTTGGTTTAGCGATTATTTTTGTCAAGTTTTTCTTTAAGAACTTCTCCCATAAAGAGATCTTAACAGATTAGAGAGCTGTACAATCGCCAACTGTATGAAATTAAAGAGCAAGTGGCAGATCTTGTACCTGGGATGGGGCAACCCTGGATATGTACAGACTGGGGATGAGAGGCTAGAGCACAGCTCCACAAAAAGAGGCCCGAGGGAACAGCACAGAGCTGCATCAGGTTCAGTATCAGGAAAAGGTTCTTTACCAGGAGGTAGCTGAAACAGGCTGCCCAGGGCAGTGGTCACAGCACCAAGCCTGATGGAGCTGAAGGAACATTAGGTCAGTGCTCTCAGACATGGTCTGGATTTGAGTGCTCCAGCATGCAGCCAGGAGTTGGACTTTGTGATCCTGGCGGGTCCCCTTCCAACTCAGGATATTCTGTGATTCTACCATCACACACACATACTGAATAGTTGCTGAATTCAAACAGTGGAGATTCAATCACTCAGGTTGAGTAACGACTACTTAAAGAAACAACAACCCAATTAATTTTGGTTGTAGGAGAACCACGGCCAATACAGAAGATTTCAGCTTAGAGCATTTTCTCATTTATTTCTGGTTTTATTTACTCTCTTTCTCTTCCTTATGACTACCAGAAATTTGGTAAACAAATTGGCCTTACTATTAATGTTCTTACTATTTAATAGTTTCAATATATATTAAGTTTAGAAGCATACTAAAGGAGCAATTGTGAAGTTCACCATGTTTTAAACTAGGCTTCATGAAAGCTGTCAAGCCTACACAAAATATACAGCATGGATACTTTTATTTCTGGTACATGCATAAGGTCCTACCTTCTTAACGAAAGAACATCTTATTAAACTACAGGGAGGTGATATTATTCATTCCCATTTTTTCACCACCAAAGATCAGTTATGTTTCTCTCCAATGCACACACTCAGTTTAAAGCTTTTTCAAAACACAGAAATAAGCAGCTATACCTTGATAACCGATTTCATCTTCTAATGACATGCAAACTGAAAGAATTCAGTTTGCTACCAGAAATGTAATTCCCACAAGGGTTTTCAAAGGCTGCTGAGCTTAAGTGTTTTTTCACTATTATTCTCCTCAGTCCACTTTACAATTTAAATTGTTCAGTGACAGTAATCTGATTGTAAGTCTGAGCTTTGGCATTTATGTTGATGAACAAAGGAAAGGAGGTGTCTGCAGAAAATACCATAAATGAAAGAATTATTAAAGGCTACATAAACAGTAATTAAGGAAGGTTTCTAAGCAATATTTTCTACCTGTATTTCAGAAATGTGTTATTTTGCAGAAGTTCACTTAACAGAAGATGGATACTAAACCATTTTTGAAGCACTCACCAGTTTGACAGCGGATCCAACTGAGTCAACAAAGAATTCAACATTTTCTCTGTCTGTGCCAAGTGCTGCTCCAGTTCTAAAAGCTGATGTTCTAGCAAACAGAAAAACAAATTGAAAAAAGAGGGAAGAGCAGGGAGAAAGAGAGAAAGAATGTTACATTAGAAGTGTTTACAGTGCCAAAACGATATTACTTTATACTTTTGGATGGACAGATTCAAAATTCAGAAAGGTTTTTTCTCTAAAATCTAGAACGTGAAAAGGAGATGGCTGGGTTAAGAACAGAAACTTTACAGTGCATGTCCTGAAATCCCTCTTATCCAGTAACCTCTCTAACAGTATCCAACACAGGCATACCTTGGTAGAATCTGAGAACTTGACTGCCACTTTCCCAGCCTGAAGAACCATGCAGTTTTAAGACTTCCCGAGTCAAAAGCAGTGCCTTCATCCTTCATACTGTCATTAATTTTTTTTTACTCTTACCTTGCAAACTACATTGAAATAGTTGCATTCAACAAGTGCTTAAGGCACTAGCATTGTGAGGAGTAACTCCTCCTAAAATACTGTGAAACTCTGAAGAAAGAAAAATACAATATATGGGGGTAGTGAGGAAGCAGCATAACAAATCACTGCCAAAAACAATTATAGATCTGTTGTACAGGGACACCAAAAGAGGCTGCCAGTTGTTCACTTAACTAGAAGCATGCCCATACAAGAGGCAAGAAAAGGTATGAGAACAGTACAACTTAGATGTGCCTCAACTTTTTCTCCAAAAGAAAGTTCACTTTTTGGTGCGTCCTAAATACAGTGAATCAGACAGTTAAGGGTACTTTTGCTTCATAAAATGGCATCACTTACTTTCTCTCCTCTATAAACATATCATGACTTTGATCTCTAATTTGGCCCAGAAAAAGAACAATCTGTGTAACTGCATAATATTGTTATATTCTCCTACAACATCCTATTAATTCTCAAAGATATTATATCCTATTTTAACACTCTAATCTAATGAAGCCATTCACCAGGCATCGAGTGACAAGAACATTGCACATTACAAAGCAGAGAACCACCACACAAGGAGAAAACTGAAACCATTATATAATGCTTCTCTGCCTCGTATTACTGTAACTGTTTTAAAGAACAATTCCTTCGGGAATTTTCAACCAAATCCAGTGTGTGAAATATACAGAATAACAAAATGCTTTTTGTCCTTCCCTAGTGGCACCAAAGTAACTGAAAAGAACTTCCTTGTTGAGCTAGAACATATTCATGAAAATCAATAGCCTTGTTTCAGCAGGAAATACACGCAGGTGGTGAATGTATGCATTCTGAGTGGAATCTTACCCGTTTCCTTTGCCTTCTCTTCTGTACTCTTTTCCTTCTCAGAGAGATTTTCTTCATGTGCCTTCATCTTTGATAAACAAAATTGTGTTAAAAGATTACATTAGTATCTTTACATTAAAAATAAAAATACAATCAGAAATTCACTGGAAGAAAACAGCAACTGTAAAATTTATGCTCCATTAAGGAAATTTCATTTCTGCTTTGCCTTCTTGCAATATTAACGTAACACTTCAAAGCAATGTTAACATGACTGAGGAAAGTTATAAAAGAAGTGGCTGCTTCATCTTCAGCTTTACAAAAGTAGTAGAAGAAACCTTCTAGATTGCTATTAATTAGGAGATAAAACTACTTTCCTTAAACTAATAAAAATGTCACAAAAATATTATGTTACTATAGAAGCACTTTTGTTTCAGGCCTGCAAGCACAAGTTATAGAGTCATAACATCCAAAATAGAGTTTTTATTATATTAAATCTTACTTACAACTTCTAGTATTACATTTATTTTTAGACCCAAATTGTTCAACTTCTACCTTCATCTTGCTGAGTTGTATTCTTCTCATATATGATATGAAATTGATCATAGACATGAAAAGACTGCAGTATACATATAAAAATAAGTTTGACTTATTTTTTTATTTTCTCCCCCCTGAAGGCAAGCAACAACATTCCAGATGCACACAATCTTTCAAATGCTATCCATAAAACCTAACAAGTGTGATACTAAAACAACTAAGAATAAATCGATCATGCATTCTCCTTTCTTAATTCACTAATGGTACAAAAGGCATTGCATTTCATGGCTAGCAGTCTTTGTTACAGCAGCCTGATCAAATGAGAGGGGTCAGGGTGGGGAGAAGTTCTAGACTGCTCATTATTACTGCTCGCTGTTCTATTCAGTTGCTAGCCTAAAGCGGTTACTTTGCAGGAATCGCCTTGTTCCCATATCCCAGCTCATTCTGAAGGATGAAAAATACTGATGAAACTGAAATTACAGCTTCAGTAACAGCACTGTTCATATTCTCAGATTCTTTTATGAGACTGGGAGAAGCAGCATAAGACTCTCATTTAAGCATCTAAAAAAGATAAGACCAATGCTTTCATTAGGAAGAATGACATATACTACTATTTTAACTGCAGCATTTATGTTACAAGATAGATCTAACATCATCAGACAACCACACACATGGGCTCAGAACTGGGGAGAAAAAAAAGTTTCCTTTCAATTTCAATAATAATGATTTTCATATATCTCACCTTAAGGAATTTGTATGCTGCAAACACTCCCACTCCAAGAGCATACAAGGGCATGAGTGTGAATGCTAAGTCTCTGCCATTTCCTCTTGTCCTCTCACTCTTTATCTCCTTTGCCATTGCATTTCTCATCTGCTGAATACTCTGGTAAACACTACCTTCAGGATTTCCTGGATTTGGGCGACCTTGATGAACTGTCTGAGGACTACCTTCAAAGTTAAATTGAAAGAAATAAGACAAAATAAAAAAAATGAAATCAGAGGTGCAATCAGCTTCACAACCAGAATTAATTTCTTTCCTTCTTGTGATCAGCTTTACTCTTCACTCCAGCAGATGATGCTGTCAGCTCCACATTCAAACAAAGTTACCAGTAATCAACCTTCTATAAATAGAACATAAAGTTAAATCTGAGTAGGAAAGATTCTCAAATTAAGTTTCCACGCTGCTTTAACATACAAGTTTTATGTTTCTCCCTTCATGCACACGTTGGCTAATGCAGGGACAAACCACAGAAAAGACAGACATACAAAGAAAATATTTCAATGCTGTATTTCTGCTTTTGTTCTTTTAAGAGTAAACACAATCTTGCATCATGTTCCTTTCTGTCAAATGAGTCCCTGTTGAGGCCACAGCAGTTTCAGGAGCAAGACAGCAGTTGTATTAAATGTGAGGGGTATTTGTGGCCCCCCTTTTAGAAGAGGCCATCTGTCTTCATCCCAGGAGGGCAACGTCAGAGATGCTTATGGCCAGCACACAGACATTTACCCCAAAGCTTCCCCGAGGCTCTGAGCCAAGATGTACCCTGCCAGGCAACTCAGGCTGCCTGAAACATTACATAGGTTGTGTGGCCACAACAGCCTCCCATTTATAGCCAACAAGTACTGCCTGAATGCTAAATGCTTCCCTCCCTTGTCTGCTTCCTTTCTTCCACTGAGTTTGCTCTCAATGAGAAGACTGCAGGAAGCAAAGGCTGGCCTGGCAGGAGCAGGACACAGAGCAGTGTCCTCCCAGCACAGGCTCAACTCTGCACAACTTGGGCCACGGCAGCATCAGAGGTGCTGCAGATGGCAGCGTGGATATCTGCAAGCTGAACATTCTGGATGGCAAGGGGAGAAGAGTTTTCATTCCCGCAGCCAATGCAATGCACTTACCTGTTCGTTTCGCTGACCGGCATCATACATTTCCAGCAACACGGTTTCACCTATACTCTGTAAATAATTTTCTAAAGACAAACAGACAGCAACCAGCAGGGCCACAAAGGAGCAGGAAGTTTAAAGCTCACACACGCTGCTGGTGGGGCCCCGCTCGCTCACGTGTAGGCATTCCCAACACCTCCCTCACGGCCCCCTCCGTACCACGGACTCTCCTCGGGCCGCCCCGACACACACGGCTCCGAGCGGCCCCTCCGGCAGCGCGGGCCCGTACCTCTGTGCTGCTGCTGTTGCCGCGGCTCGAAATGGCCGGGCCCGGCCCTGCCGCCCCGCGGAGCCCGCCCGGCCCTGCCGCCGCCTCCGCCTCCCCCGAACATCCTGGGCATAACGACGAGCAGGCAGAGCACCAAAACCACCGACACTACCGCCTGCTGCGGCACCGACAGCACCATGGCCGCCGCCGGACCGACGCCCGCCCGGCGGCCCCGCAGCAGCGGCGCGGAGGAGGAGCGGCGGCCGGGCGGGCGGGGCGGTCCTTGTGCCGCCCTCTCACGGCTCCCGCACGGCTCGGAGCTCTAAGCGGCCGAGACCAGGGGTGGGGGAGTGGTGCCGCACTCGGGGGGCTGCGGGGGACTGTAGTTAGCTGTAGTTCAGCCGGCCCGCCGAACGTTCTGGAAGCGGCACAGCCGCCCGTCGCGTGCCCGAGCGGTTGCGGCAAGTGCGGCGCCATGGGGCTGTTGGTGGTGGCGGTGGCGGCGGCGGCACTGGGCGCGGCGGTCGGGCAGGTCCCCGCCTTGCCGCCCATCTCTGATAAGGCTTTCATCGGGGAGTGCGTGCGCACACACAACGCGTACCGCAGGAATGTGGAGCCCACCGCCAGCAACATGCGGTACATGGTAGGCGGCGGCCTGCGGCTGTGTGAGCGGGGTGGCGCAGTGAGACGGCCGGGGTAGAAGCAGTGCCGTGTGCGTTCAGATAACATCACGCTTATTTGATGAGAAATATCTTAGAAAGTTGGGTTGGTTATAGACAGGTGAGACAGAAACAGCTGTGCGTGCAGCTTGGTGCTGTAGGATGGGCAAACAGAAGAGGTTCACGTTAGCCCCAAGGAATTTCTGGTTGGAAGAATCACAGAATCATTAAGGTTGGAAAAGACCTCTGAGATCATCCAGTCCAACCTTCCGCCCAGCACCACCATGCGGCGGCCCTCACTGCCACATCTCCACACATCTCAAGCACCTGCAGGGGGCAGGGGTTGCACCAATTCCCTGGGCAGCCTGTGCCCATGACTCCACTCTTTTCTGACAATAAATCCTTCCCAATATCCAACCTGAACCTCCCTGGTGCAACTCCTGGCCCCTATTTCTTATTGTATCATTGCTACTTGGGAGAAGAGGCTGACTACTACCCTGCTACAACCTTTTCTCAGGGAGTTGTAGAGAGCCATGAGGTCTCCCCTGTGCTCCCTCCGGAAGATAAGCAGTCCAGCACCAGATGGCAGTTAAGTTTTCTGTCAAAAGCAAGAGTATAAACTGGACTGCTGGGGCTGGAGATCTCTGGTATCAAGGAAAAGTCTTTGTGTCTGGTACTGACACAAATGGCACTGAAAACTTTGGTGAAAATGGTTAAACAAAACTGAAGAACATGCTGAAAAAAAAGAGACCTGATACCTTGGTATTTTGAAGTAGTCTTGAAAATAATCACATGCTCTCATGCTGTGGGAACAGAATGGCTTTGTGTGTATGGGTTAGAATCCAGAATGGTAGGTGGAGAGCCATATAACTTTCAGGCTGAAGTACCTTGTTAAAGCGCTGTGCCTGGGTTTAGTGTTCCGGAGGAGGAAAAGCAGAGAAAAATGATGAAAAAAGGAAATACAAATTTAGACAGATAGAATCATAGAATCATAGAATCACCAAGGTTGGAAAAGACCTAAAAGATCATTCAGTCCAACCGTTCACCTATTCCCAATAGCTCCTACTAAACCATGTCCCTCAACACAACATCCAGTCTTTCCTTGAACACCCCCAGGGTCGGTGACTCCACCACCTCCCTGGGCAGTCCGTTCCAGTGCCTGACCACCCTTTCTGAAAAGTAATACTTTCTCATGTCCAGTCTGAATCTCCCCTGCCGTAGCTTGAAGCCATTCCCCCTGGTCCTATCACTAATGACACGAGAGAAGAGGCCGACCCCCAGCTCACTACAGCCTCCCTTCAGGAAGTTATAGAGAGCAATGAGGTCTCCCCTGAGCCTCCTCTTCTCCAGGCTGAACATTCCCAGCTCCTTCAGCCTCTCCTCATATGGCCTGTGTTCCAGACCCCTCATAGCTAGAAAAAAGCAACAGACCTTGGTGAAATAACAACATTGGCAGCCATGTAGAGACAGAGAGTAACCAAAATGTCTGCGCAATGCTAAGCTTAGGCATTAAAACCTGGGATCTTTTCTATAAGACATAAAACTAGGTAGTTACAGATAGAAGAAGCCTGCTGGAAAGCACTCATGACTGGAACACAAATACAAAATACCTTTGTTAAATAATCAGAAGTTATGTTACAGTGGTAGACTGCAGAGAAATAATAAATAGCAGAATAAATTATTTGCCAAACAAACGTATTCTATGAAGCTGTGTTTGTAAAATGCTCTGGTGTATTTAAAGCATTAGTGCAGGATGTGTTTGTGGAGAATCAAAATGCATAAAATATTTATACATCTTAATCTACAGAAGCTGTGTATTTTTTACTCTGAATTAATGTTTATGTGATGGAAATCCTTAACAATTTGTTCAGTAAGAAAAAATCCCCCAGAAATTTCACACTTAATTAATGACTCATTTATCTGAAGATAAAAGTGCGTTCCAAACATTTTTTTAGTTGCTAGTATGTGCTCTTACAAAGTTAATTGTCAGCAGTGAAAAGGGGAAAATTCTTTTAACTTTGTAATTCTGTGCTGCCACTGGAAAAGTCAAAATAAAACACGAGTACTTGCCTTAAATAAGGAAAAGCATTTCTTTATGTAGCTCCAATACATAAAGTCTACCTGTTATTAATATATAATAATCTGTATATGTCCATTTTATTGCCTGCTTTTATCTGACTGTTGGAGACTCCTGTAACTTGACATTGCACAATTATTTCAACTTTATTGTTTTGCAGACTTGGGATGCAGCTTTGGCAAGGACTGCCAGGGCATGGGCAAATAAATGCATTTTTGATCATAACATGTATTTAAACGTGAGATATCATGGCCATCCTCATTTTATGAGTGTTGGAGAGAATATATGGATTGGAAGTCATCAAATATTTCATGTTCAATATGCCATTAAAGCGTGGCATGATGAAGTCAGAAACTACAATTACTCACTGCAGAAATGTAGTAAAGTCTGCAGTCATTACACTCAGGTAAGAATCATCTTCAGTAAAATCTTCTGTGTAGTTAGTAGTATAGTGCCTAGCGGACAAATCAGGGTCTGTCACTAATACAGGATTGTGAATGTGGTTTGTAGTGACCATCAGCTTGTTGTCTTTTTTAATCTGAGGCAGTGGCAGCGCTGCAAGTTACCTGGTTCACCTTCTTGTTTCATAAAATCATGTGTAATAACAATCCATTATTGCCTATAATGTTAGCGTCACTGCTTATTCAATTGTATCAGCACTTTGTGAACTCTACTTAGTAATCACTCCGAGTTCTCCAGCTGTGTACACACACCATTCTGAATTCTGGAAATGTCAGGTTGGTGTTGGAAATAATCACAGTAATTGCAAAATATCTGGGAGAACTCCTTATTAGGAAAAAAAAAAACACCAAGAGAAAATGAAAATCCGGCCGAAATCAATTATATCCCATAATATCAATTATATCTAGTAAGAAAAGAGAAAGATAATTCTTAATCTGGGACTCAGTTAATTAAACTTTTTTTTAATTAAACATTTAAGTCCTTTTCTAAGCAAGGTGATGTCTGCTTAACATACTGCTTAACCACTTCTTGCAGTTAAAATGGACAGGATGGAACTTTTGGGAAAGTTCAGATGGTTTTGTCAGTCTGAGGCCTGTGCTGTTCATGCTGGGGAGATACTGAGAGCAATCTGGTTTGTCTTTGTTTTCCAAAAGTGGGGTATGTGATCATCCAGATATTGTAGGTATATAGTTAAAAGTTCTTAACTAAATTCAGGACATATGCAGAGGATATAGAAGGAATCTCCCAAGAAGAAGTAGTGGATACTCAGATTGTAAGCGATAGTAAGCCATCATTGTTCAAGTACGGCAGCTAGCAGTGGTCAGTCTGAAATTGTACAGTGCTAAAGCTTTCAGGTCAAGTTTGTTGTAGTTACCAGCCAGGCCATTTTTAGTGCACGTAAGAAGCCTTTTTCTGCAGTCCTACTTAAAGAAGCTGTCAGGTAATTGCCACTGATTTCTCTTCTGTTCCTTGGAACCTGCCCAGCGACCATAAAGCCAGTGATGTTTACTAAAGTTGTCCTGTAGAAGATTCTGAAAACTTGCAGGATAGCTCTCTTACTCCTGAGGTGTATTGGGATGTGCATCTTAGAATGCTTTCTTACCAGCAGTTCTTTTATGAATAAACATTAAGAGTAGATCCGTTACTGCAAAATGGAACTCATATGTAGAGTCTCTTAAAATAGCCTGCTATTTGCTGGATATTAGACCAGGTTGCCATGTGTGCCATTTTAATTTATTTTTGAACATTTTTTAGATCGTTTGGGATGATACATATAAACTAGGCTGTGCTGTTGCTTTCTGTAAAGAAGTTGGAGGAATAAGAAACGCAGCAAATTTTGTTTGCAACTATGCACCACCGTAAGTTGTTCTTCTAACTGTGAAGAAAGAGAAATCAATTGTAATGATAGTTCACTAAAAGTAAACTGAGATTTTCGTTTGTTGGTAGCCTTGCAAAAGCTAAACCTAGAGAGAATAGTAGTTGTCTAATTCATTTACTAACCATAACCATTACAACATGTACTTGTTTTTTTTAAATCTACCAACTTTACTCATAAGGTTATTCTGTGGCAATCTTAAGCAAATCCCACTCTGGTTTGTGATCCTCTTCATTTCTTTCTTTTTCATATGAGCCAGAACAAATGGGAAACTTGGCAGCTTTTTTTCTTCTGGCAAACTTGGGCCATTGTCACGGAGTTCAGTCAGTTTGAATGAAATATTTCCTTTAAGTTCTGCCTTTATCTCTTCTTAGCTGTACTTCTAATTGCATTATTATTTTGAAACTTACTGGGATATGGAGTTTTGCTGTTGTTTTCTTTTTAAAATCTGATGTAAAAAAATTTCCAGTTGCTGATTCAGAATAATGACTAATTGACATCAACAGTGGTGTGTAAAGATTGATTAATTTGATCTTTTCTAATCTGTAACAATTTATCATGCTGATATCTTGTGCCGTCCTACAGATTCTTGACAACTGATAGCTCAGCTGCATAGTGGTCCAGGTTGGAAGGATCTTCCATTTCCAAGCACTGTGCCACGGGCAGGGCTGCCCAGTGCCCCATGCAACCTGGTCTTGAATGCCTCCAGGAATGGGGCATCTACAGCTCTCTGCGTAGTTGTGCCAGCACCTCACCACCCTCTGTGTGAAGAATTTGCCTTTTATCTAATCTAAGCCTGCTTTTTTTTAAGTTTAAAACTACTACTTCTTGTCCTGTCACTTCAATCCAACAAAGAGATGAGGTCTAACTGTATGATACTAAGAACCCCAATCTCTAATTCACCACAGGAAATAAGTGGAGCTAGAACAGTAAGACCATTGTCTCAGAGCATCCTGAGGACTCAATTAGCCTGACAGATAGCAGTTTCTTCTCAGAATTGAGGATGCACCAATTAAAAGATCACCTTGCTAAAATTACCTTTTTCAGCATAGCAGTTGTGCAGTGTAGCCATTTTATAGATGCTTTTCAAAGGAAATGAGACAGCATGCTGTGGTACCATCCTTGTCTGAGATTCCCATTACTTCCCGTCAGCATTCCAAAGTTGGCTGCCCCATCTTGCTACAAGTGTGAGATGGTTTCACCCCAATGGCCAACTGAACTCTACCATGCTGCTCTTTCACTCCCCCTTGAGAAGGGGGGGACTTTTTTTCCTCTTCAAAAGTTAATCTGTGCTTTTTTTTCCCCATTCATTATTTCTTCTCAATGGGGTACCACTCCACAACTTAGACGTTATTCAATGTTTAGATTTATTTCTGTGTAATGAGAAGGCAAGGCATCTCAGGAAACAGACAGTGCCTGCCATCTCTCTGGATATGTAGCTCAGAGTCTGTTTTCTCAAAGAGGATTTTACAGAGGATTTTAAACTCTGTAGTAGCAGTACAATTATTGTTTGCAGTTGAAGCCTTTGATAACAAGAAAGACCTCCTGAACTGCAGCTCAGGCAATCTCTGTGGTTTGTATTGCATTCCTGCAATTGAACCATGCACAATCACCTGTTGGCCCTCCTTTCACACTGTTATCTGATATTATGCTTTGGCCAGAGCTTCTAGAAGCTTTGCTTTGTCCTTCTATCTTTCCATTCTGGAGTCTGAGACCCTTTTCAGGTAAGCCTTGTGTTTGAAATCACTCATGCTGTGAGTGTATATATGGATGTTGACTTAAAAGTTCTGCCACTTAACCTGCAACTTTTGTATAGATATGTATTTATTTATATGTACACAGAACTCTCTCCTGCTTTTCTATAGCAGGTTTCTGTAGCAGGTCTTTGATTCCTAGTAACGAAAGGGTTACGAGGGTGGGCACTCTGCTTCCATTTTCTTCCTATCTGAGCTTCAAGGCAGTGCATGTGGTGGAAATGGGCTGCTTTAGCTTCTGGGGTAACAGTCAAGCCAACCAACAGCGTGTGTGAATGTGTATAAAGGCATGTCAAAGAAAAGTTGCAGTTAAATTGCAGGTAATGTCTTGGAGGGGTTCTCTGTGCACCTTCTTCAGCAATGTTTTACCAGCTCATACATCATTATGTCTGGTGGGTAACTTCTGCTTATAAATACAGATAGTGAAGAGTGTGTGTAGAAACTTGTAATCCTGAAAAAACTATCATAGGTCCTGATGCAAGTGATCTTCTTTGAAGAAAATTATTCAAAGTGTCTGCTATTGAGGTGAAAAGTAGCCCACAGTCCTTGAGGGGAGCTAAATCTGTCTGTTTGTTCCCAGGGTTAGGCTGTGAGCATAGCACTGCTGCTTCTTTTTGAGCAGACCATACAGCATAGCCAGGATACTGTGCAGCTGATTACCTGGCGGCCAGAATGATGCTGTCTGTGCTGTCAGATCTACCAGTTACATGTATGAGTGGATTGTATAAGTGTGCCACTAATGAGTCCTGCAGGCTGACCCTTATGCTTAACAGTCAGGCTCCACTTAGATGAGGTACTTAAGCATGTAATAATCCACCTGTATTCATTAAGACTGCATTCTTACTGTTAGACATTTTCAAGTATTTTGCTGAACAAAGGTTATGTTTTTCAACAGTGAGTAGCCCACAGAATATCCTGTTACATACGTTGTTTTTATTTTTTTACTAAATGATTTGTTATAAGCTATTCAGGAGTGTGTCAGCTTTAAAATTTTCCACTCTAAAACTCTTCTCAATTTATCTCAGTTAAAACAAAATTCTACCAAGAACATTCTCATTTATCCACCAGTGTAAAATTTGAATAAAAAGCCATAGTACCTTCCTGTAAAAAAAATAAAAAAATAATAAAAAAAAAAGGAATAACTTCTTAGAAGTCTCTTCTTTCTCGTGGAGAGAACAAAGAAGATGAAAAGAGAGATTTCAAAATGACTCCAAGGTTTTTAATAGCGAGCAACTCATTGTATTTCGGTGTATTTACTTCAACCAGTGACTTTTTAAAAATTATGCATGACCTACCTGTCTCATAGAAACTTCTTCCCTTGTAGTGGTAATTTTCGAAGAAGACCATATAAAGAAGGAGCACCATGCAGTGAATGTGCCAGGAGGGACTTCTGTGATAGGAAACTGTGTAGTAAGTGAAAGACAATGCAAAATGTAATACGTAAAAGGAAAAAACACGACCAAGTGCTTGATAAAAACAGCTGCAAAATGTGGTTTACTCCTTTTTGATGCTCTCTCAGGTCCAGTTTGCAATTGTATTATTTAGTATTAGGTATTATTGTGTTATGCAATTATAAACTATCCGTAAGGCTATCTATATTCTGGAAACAAAGGTGTTCATGTTGCTGAATCAGTGTCCTAGTGATACTTATGAAGTCTCAATTTGATTTGCTAATTCGTGATTGCAGTTTTAAATGTATTATGGTTTCTGTTGTACTCTGTAAAGGTTCAGAGTATTTGGTATGACATCATTAGCTAGATAAAGAAATCAGCATCTCTCTGTGTACTTCTAAAGGTTCTTACTTCGGTGTCTCTCTTCAAGGTCCCAAACATACAGTTTCTACCTACTAGAAAGCCAAAAGCTGGAAGATTCATGTGGCTAAAGTTAGGGCATAAGTTTTTAAGTTTCAATCAATAACTGGAAGTTACACTCGTGGTTTAACAATTAGTTGTCTTAATATATGTTATATAGCTTTAATGTTATGGGTCGTAATTTCTAAGTAGGAGACACCTCTGAAAAACAGATAGGACTACCAGGGTATATTTACCCCAGTATTTAGGCCCAATTTAGGAAACAGTCTGTCTCCCATCCTCAGCTGTAAGGCTGTACTTGATGGCATGTACTAACTTCACGTGTATGTTGTGAATATCAAACAGTATTTATTATTTTGAGAAGCACAAAGAAGAAAGGGTTCAAACTGAAAATGGTCATATAAGGCTTCAATTCCTTTTCACGTGGGTCTTTGTTCTCATCAGTGTAACTGTTAGAAGCAAGAATATCTTTATGGAGGCATTATGAAGTATTGCAGTTTAATTTTTACCAAAGCAATTTCATTGTTTTGTAAGGTTTCTCAATTCAAGTTTTTGAATTGTTAGATTTTCTTGTTTCATTGGTAAGTTTCAGCTTACTAGGAAAGATTGGAAGAAAGAGAAATTCTGGCTGCCTGATAGAACTGTTTCTTTTTTTTCCTTTCTGCAGGAAATGAAGAACGTGATAAAATTGTTTGTAAGTGTTATAATTTTGCACTGTTGTTCATATTCCTTAGTTACTACAAATGAAAAAAATGTACACCTAAACTTCTAATGATATGTTTATTTTTAGATTACTCACGATGGTATCCACCTTGGGAGTTCAGAATTATCTGTGATGAAGCCTGCATTGCTGTTATAATTTCGAGAACATTGCTGATGTTTGTTGGTTTTCTAGCTATTTATTTGTTCAGAAGGCACTTTATAAACATGTTTGTGTTCACATAACTTGATTTGAAATACATTCAATATTCTGAACGTAATCTCTAATGTTTTAAGCAAAAATCTATATTAATATGATTTTAAAATCAGCTTTCTTTTACTGTAGTTTTGTTACTATTTTATGCTCCTTACAGAAAACTTAACATGCTATAAAAATAAAAAAATTATTTGTAGGTAAGACCCATGTTGAGAAATTAGTAAACTAAGGATGGCATTTGATGTTCAGAAGCATTGTTTTTAATTGCCAAATTTATTGAACTCTGTTTATTTACCAGATTTACACACTGTATTCTTGGAATTCAAGGAGAAAAATGCCTATCAGTTTAAAAATTTGTTACAGTTCATGCTAAGCCAATATTTGATGTGACAAATGCTTAGTTTAGTGCCAAGAGGAAGCTAGCATCAGATTACGTACAAAGTCCTTTTTGCTAGAGCGACTGAATGTTCTGAGTAAAATCTGTGAAGACATTTCTTTAGAAAGGCATTTCTGCAGAAGTATTGATTCTTCAGAAGTACATGAAGCAGGACAACTTGGTATTTATTCAGTTGTGCATTTATTGCTCCTTATTCAAAATAAGATTGTTCAGATTATTACTTTGTTCCCAATTTCCTCTAAACCTTGTGTTTCATTTCTGAACTTTTGCTGTTCTGTTCTTTACACTGCACTGTTACTGATAGAATATTTACTGTCCTGTAAGCGTTCTGTAGTTCTACTAATAAATGTTCTTGTTTTTTAAACCTACTGAAGCCTTTGTATTCAACACTGATTTCACTCTTCTATATCCAACAGATCAGATCTTTAATTATTTCACTTTCTTTAAAAAACAAGTGTTATTTATACAATAGTCTGAAGCTTCTTTTGTTCTTTTGTATAGTAAAAGTAGATTTTCCTAATTGTGTCACTGTCTTGTCTAGTAAAAACTAATATAGCTGCTTTAAAGTTCATTATTATTAGGTAATATTTCACCTTTATTGTAAAACAGGCTGAAGAAATCCAGACTGAAAAACTGCTATTTTCTGAACTTAATCTGAGCTTCAGGAAGCTTCCTTGAGTTCATCCATATGAAATAATTTGTTTTATGCTTCCTTTTTCTGTGTGTTTGATGGACAATCTGGGTCTAAATCACTGCAGATTATTATATAAGTTAGTATTTGTAATTCCACTGATTTTATATATTAAAAGTATTTCTTATAACACAGTCTTGAAGAAAATAAGCCAGACTTTTCTTGAAAATTAATTTATGATTAGATACAACAGCTTTTTCTTCTGTAAGTTTTCTCAGATTACTAAAATATGGAACAGACTGTGTGTATTCAGAATCAATGGATTACATTCTCAATGCTAGGAATCTAATTCTATATACTTACGACCATAAGCAGGCAGCCCTTACACACAAAATTGTTCAGTGTGGACATTCCTGAGGAGCAGTTCTTCCCATTGCTTTACTGAAAGATAAAATGGCTTCTTGTGATGGAGAAACTGAATTCCAAACCGTAAGGAAAGTTTCCTTAGTACTTGCAGTAGACAATTAGAAATGAATGGCCTAGTTTTGTACTATGCTTTGCTCAGTATTGGGAGGCACAAGAAGGATATTTCTACAAAATGATAAAATGTCAGATTGTTTACTTCACTGTTACCATCCTCAGTGCTGTGTGATGTTCCCAAAAATCATATTGTTTGCCCCATTCCCTAATTTGGTGTCTTTGGGAGAACAAATATGCAGCCTCTTGTGCTTTGGTCCTTGCAGCATCCCAGTGCATTGATCAGAGAAGTCAGCAAGCAGTGTGTTACAGTTCTGCTCTGTTGGGCTGCCAGGCGTAGCTGGAGTAGGCAGTACTGTACAAATTCCCCTAACCAAAAAAGCAGTAAAACTGTTGGAACTACCTGCAGTCCAGCCATGTAATGATGGCATCCCGTAATAATATTATCTGTTTATAGCCTCATTATTACCCCCCAAATTAACAAATATACCTTTTCTCTTTAATAAATAATTACAAAAGAATTTATTACAAAAGAATTCATGTGGAAATCATCCATACCAACATGATCCTTCCAATTAGTCTCTACCCTGAGGTGAAACTGTAATACAAGTAGCAACAGATGTCAGAATGCTAGCTTATTCACACCCCTGGAAGGGCAGGTGATCTTACATCTGCATATCCTATGGGCAGACCAAGAAAGCCTAGCAAATCCACCCACTTGTTAAGCTGAATCAAGCAAGTCAAAGATAAATAGTCTCTCTGTCCCTAGCACAAGTAACAACATTCACTGGGAAAGCTGGTAACTTGAGGAGAAAGCTGAATGCAGTTTTACATCTTGGACTTCTGTTAGTGTGTAGTCCACCAGTCCTTATTTATCTAACCATGTGATACTTTAGGGGAAAAAAAAAAAAAAGAAATGGAAACCTGTTTCCAGCCATTTTAAAATGAAAGCAGGAGGTACAAAGTGAGAAAGAGGAATCTAAGGATGGAATTACGGAATTTTCTTACGAACAATTGGGCTGTGCAGTTTCCTGCCCATCCGTCACTCCATGTGCTAAACCTCACTGGAGATTTATGCAAGGACAGGGAACGTTTGCATCATCCAGACAAATACTACATGGATATCCAAATCACAAAGCTTTATTTTCATCTGGCGTACAAAAGAGGACTTTTAATGCTGGTGATTAATTGGCTTTCTGTGAAAACATTATGTGTGGACAGACTGCACTTCTGTTTTAAGGATAGTCTCACTAGATGGAGCCAGAGTCATCTCTGCAGGAAAGCATCTTAGAACCCTGAATGTGCTGGATAAGCCAAGATTTCCTGCTGTATAAAGCACCCATTTTCAGTCTCCACACACATTTCAGCTACACAGATATAAAACTGCTAGATCACTGGATTGCTAAATCCGGTGCAATTGCTAAATTGATGGTGCAATTTTGGTGTGCTACTTGCGTTCTATTTTTGCAGTCTGTGTGTGTGTAATATAGCCAACAAAGACAACTGTGGGACCTGTTTCTTTCTCTCCCAGATGATCCAAAGCCCCAGAAGGTGTCCACCACACCATTGCCTTCTGCAGCTGGCCCTACCTTCATGAAATCAGTCAGCAAATCACGGCTGGGCCAAGACATGGGTGGGGGAGAATTAGTAATGCTTGACATCCATACATGTGCACGCAGAGAAATAGTTACATGCCTCCTATTAATAGCATAGATAGATATAAATGTGATGGAGTTGGAGGACCACCGTTTTGAAATTAAAGATTAACCAGCTTGTGGAAGCATTAATGAGACAATGCAGATCCCACCAGCGCACATCCTGCTGCCCCAGGAAGGGATCAGGCTTGGAGTTTTACACCAGGAGCGCTAATCCCACAGTGTTCTCTTTCCGGGAGCACAGAAGGCTCTTCCAATAATGTCAGCCTATCAGATAAGCACAGGTGGCTACTGACAGAGAATCAACATGCATTCATGGCTTGGATTTCTAAGGCATGCCTTTGTACACACCAAACCAAAAGGTCAGCAAGTCTGTTCCTGCTGCTTAGGAACTTTTTTCCTTCTAGTGAGGTTAAAATTTAATGTACACAGTTTCGCTACTTCTGTTTGTTCTTAGAGTAATTCTGAGAAGGAGGAAAGGTCCTGCAAAATAATGATGTAAGAAAATCAGATGAACAGCAGATCTGTGTTTTATCATAGCTAGAATTTTTATGGTTCAGAGGAGTTTTAGCAAACTCATTATGCATCACCTCTGTGGTTAGCACCAACAGCCACCAAATAGCTTGGCAGTCAACCAGAATGAAACACACTCAAAGAAAAGACAGAGTCATATCTTTAACATTGCCCCTCGACGATATGCATGGCAGATGCCTGTTTCATGGGCAGCCAGCAGATGTGATGTCAGTTAGATCTTCATCTTAGGAAGCAGTTTCACTTCCTGTTGCTTTGGCAGACACTTTCAAGTATTTCAACACCCGAAGGACTACAGAGGAAGAACCCAGCAGTACTGACTCCACCTGAGCAATTCTTCTTTTAAAAACTTCAAAAAAAATACCAAAAGCGTTGAAGAATTATGAAAATCACCTTTTTCTTTGCTGTGCTGTTCTTGCTTGATCTCTTTGTTTGCTGTCATACATATGACCAATATCCCTTGCCTGACATAGAAGATGCGAAGTTCATTGAGGACTGTGTGAGAGCTCACAACGGCTTCCGATCCAAAGTGAATCCACCAGCCAGCAATATGCTTCGTATGGTAAGGAGACTTCTGTGATCTATTTGAAAATTAATTAAGATGGTGCTGCTGATTTTAGACCATCCTCGTTTGCATTTCCTCTGTGCTTTTCTTTCCCTTTTTGTCAGTGATTTCTGCACTATGTACGATCATTCTTGGTAGGAAATAGAAAGCAATTCATTTTTGCAGTACTGTTCTATCTTAATAATTGGAAGGGGATTTCTTGTATAGGAACAGATTGTTGCTCTAATTGTCAGCCACAGCTAAGGACTGTATTTAAATGAAATATATATAATGTTCAGTTCTCAGCATTTCATTTACGTTTTTCAGAGAGAGACAGTAATCTTCATTATATTAGCCCAGTTTTCTTACAAGAAATCTGTTTGGTATTAAAAAACTCCTGGAAGGCAACCTGTACCACAGGGTTTATTGGAAATCTAGTCTCTTGCCTTGTTTCCTCCAATCTAGAATATGTACTGAAGAAAGAGATTTGCTTGGACATTCAAATAGATGCCTCATCTTGATTTGCTGCAACAGGGCTTGGAGAGCAGGGGTGCTAGTATCTGGACTAGAAAGCAGATCTCCCCATAAATGTAATGGATCTCAGAACAGGCTGTGTATCAGTCTTAGCTTGCTCAATGGAGTGTGTAAGGAGAAGACAGATAGGTGGGGGAGATAACCCCAGTCAGCTCATGTCATTGCTTTGAGCCTTCAGGCAGTGCTGCTTAGCTGAAAAGGAAGCTAAATGCATAATCACATAAATGATGATGCTATGAGTCATTTTATGTAAAGACGATCACAGCAAAGAAGTAACATTCATACTACTCATGATTTTAATTTCTTGGAACTTTGTTAAATCTATCTATATTTAATTGATAATGGAAAAGCACCAGAGGCAACTTAGCTGCTTGGAGCAAAGATCCAGCAATGCTGGAATAAGAGGACAAATATAAAGAAACCTGTTCCATTGTGTTTGAAAGCTCACAATGGACTTTTCTTGCATGACTTTTTTCAGTCTCTGCAAGTTTTTATCATCCCTAACAACTCACAGCAAAGAGCTGCACAGTCTACCTACAAGCTCCGTGATGATATCTCCCAGCATTTTATTTGCTTTTGATAACTACTAGCTTCTTCTGATAGGCTCTGGTGCCTGTATTGGGAAGAACATGCGAGCATTGCTTGCTTACATACTTAACACAAGATAAAAGCTGCTGTATAGGATGTTGCTTTATGAAAGCCTTCCATTCTTAGGATGATCGTGCTCCCCTATGTTCTCTGCATCCCTTCCAGTTCCAATGTCTCCTTCTTAAAGTGAGGTACTGCGCACAGTTTTTAACAGGACTTGTAGTGTACTTATATATTTTTTTTCATTCTCCATTCCTTCTCAAAGAATTTCTAAAACTTTGTCATTTATAGCATGTATGGGAATTACTGAGTCAGAGCCTGAACCTCTGACCACCTGAGGTGAGCCATGAGTCAGCCAGAGGAGCACAGCTGAAGGCAATTCAGCTGTGCTGCTGGAAGGGGTGGAGCCAGGCTGCCCCCCTCGTAGACCTATTGAAGAGCTGACTGCCAGTAGGGAAGGATCTCTTCTAGAGATTGCCTTTATTGGAGTTTTGTGGTGAGCCCAGCATAAGGGTAAGCCTTCCATTTATTCTCTCTTGTTATCATAGTCTACTTCACCTAACTCTCTTGTTTATTTTGTGGTTGTAACATCTTGATATCTATTGATTATACAATAGTACTACTCGGCATTGATTTATGCATAGTAATGGTCAGCTCCAAACCTGTCATTATGAACACAAAGCTAAAATTCTTTTTTTTTTTTTTCCT